GTCCAGGCAGCAGACGTGCACAGGTTCAGCAGCATGAAGAACGTACACACCAGGGCCAGGTTCAACGTCATGGTCAGCTTCCGCCCGATTATGTCCACCAGGAGAAGGTTGATCGGCATTTCTGACAGAATTATGGTAAATATAACAAGCTAAGTAAACGTCATACAAAATTGGATTATAACTTACACCCAAGGATTGACTGCTCGAACCCCACCGTAAAAGAAGAAGATCGTATTCTCAGTATCTATGCAAGTTTGTTATTAATGTAACGGAACTAGCAGACACAAGATAAAGATCCGTCAGGTATTTTGCTTTTATCAAGTATCTAAAGGAATCGGAAGACAACATAAATTTCTCACGGATGAACTCCCCGTACGTGGAGACGATCATGGAGATGTAGTCTTTACTGGTGAGAGGTTTACAGGAGCAGGGGATGACGTCAGAGGAGGCGGGGACCGCTGAGCCTGTAGAGGATGTGTGGTGTACTGGTTACATGTAGGTCTGGGCTGATTCAAAACGTCAGCAACGGTATGACATAAATTTCCACACATCCGACCGTACATATCACTGATAATCCCATTCCAAATGAAAATATGTACCTACGTCTGATTCATCGTACGTAAAATGTAAATTGCACAGAGACGTGATGTTCATATGCTAGTGATAATAAATTCACGTTTGTGAGCTATGATGATATAATAATAACCGGTGCGTGAGATGTTATCAGAATAATAACCTGTGCAGGACGCTTTACTCTCCATGATCTCCGAGCTGACAAGGACAATACCATAGTACAGTGCGCCTGTGCCGCACCTGGACATGGGACAGGTAAGAACAAGACATTCAATCAATTACATTATGAAATAAAGACTGAACTGTAACTTCCAACACTAGGTATAGAATTGGGACTTATCCCAAATTTTCGGTTGACTCCATCAACCTTGTTCACGGAATGGTTCCGGAATGATTTGTACCAACAGAATGAACTTTCATGCCAATCAATTACACAATACACGTAGTTATATTTGGTATACCGGTAATTTCATATTCTTCCCTATTGAAAGTAAAAAAAAAATTGTCATTGATTTAAAAGAGATTTAAGTAATTATTTACCATATTATGATGTCCTGTATCAAGGTGCGAAGATGTTTTCTTTTGAACAGTTCTTTCATCGTACCACGAGGCGCCTGTCATTTAGGGACAAAATAAAAATGATCGCGATTAAAAATGATCGCGATTAAATTAGGACACGAAGACAGGAAAACAATGTAAATTGGACTATCTGAAAAGTTAGAGCTGTTCGTCTAGCTACACATCTCCAAGCATATATAACGCATCGAGCGTATTTTTTTCGCGTTCTGGTCGTCTTTAACACTTTCTGCTTGTCCCTACTCCCCTCACCCCCGGGTCCCTGCTTGGAGATTATGTTCAGTACTTTTGAAATCTTGTGATACCTCCGAAGACTTGACAAGTTTTCCGGGTGGAAGGGTTGCCCTGTTTAGCCTTGCCATCCTCTCCAGGACCTGTAGGGCTTTGACTCTTTTTCCTGCCGCCATGTAGAAGCGGACTGACTCTGGTAGCGCCTGGGAGAAAAGTACTAGAGATTATCAACATCAAATTACAGAAAGAAAGCAGTGGTCAGTAACAAGTGGCAATATCAGAACACCGGGCACTTAGTCTGAACATACGATGAGTTTGAATCGCACGTCTGCATATGCTGCATTTAAGATAGCCGTTTTAAAATTGACGAGCTAGATTGTTATAGTTGTCAAATAACAAAACAACAAGATAGTCAACCCCTGGCCCCCTCAATGTACTCCATACTGATTACCTTGAAAAATATAAGGACGAAAAACCCCGGAATGCAGGAGAACAATATGAGGTAACGCCACCCCAGCGTCGGTACCACCAAGTACGCCAACATGATGACGCCCGATCCGCCTAAAGACCAAAATATCTGCAAAAACAATTGGTGTCAGTCTTGATACAGCGATGAACAACACAAAGAGGAAAATTTGATTGACAACATTTCAAGAATGACAAACTTAAGATATTCTAGTGTCGTCCAAAAATTAAAACATGACACATCATGTCAAATTGTTTCTGTTTAACTCACTGTAGAAAAAAATCAGAAATCTTGATTTGATTTTAATCTTATTTGAATTGTGAAAGTACAATAAAGATAGAGATGTTCAGGCTGTGTTTATAATCACATACGGCGTAGATCAGGTAGGCCTTCGCTCTGTACTTGGACGGCATGAATTCCATCAACAAGGTATCCCTGAAATGGAAGCGTAAAACATGTTGTAAATGTGTGAAAAACTTTACAAGCTAGAAGATGCAGCTCTATTGAACATTTACGTACAGACGTAACATGAACGTCATTTTACGTTTACGTTACCCTTACGACGGGATCCATACATACATCTGCGGCCCACCGGCAAACGTTACTCCCAACATGGTCCGCAGTATGACCACCCAGTAGTAATTCGGGCTGAACGCCGTCAGGAAGTTGAAAAGAACCATCCCAAAGGCCACCATCCACAGAGCCTGGAAAGGCGCAGGGAGTCATGTTTGATGTTGAAACTGATATTGGGTGATATTAAATAGTTTGACAATACAAAAGTAATACAAAGTAACGGGGTGAATGTTATCTCTGGTAGCAAGATAAACACCGTTGCGACGAAGCCCCAAGTACAAATGTATAAGGCGCATATCAGATGAGATATGTAGATTTCATTTTGAGTCAATGTTCCGTAATATCATACTGCCATTATCATACATTTTCTTCCGTTTTCACGAGTCACAGTTACCCTCGAGCTCTACGTAACAAACATACAAACAAACAAACAAATAAACAACAGAATTCGTCCTTACCGGCCACCTGCCGTACCTGTCCGCAACTGTGCCGAACGGAATACTGAAGACCAACATTCCCAAAAACAGCATCTAGACGGGAATAAAATCAACACATTTATGGAAAAGACAGTAGCCCGGCGGGGTGTGTGTCGCGATTCTAGCGCATCTGGTAGATATCAAACCGACCTATGTCTACTACTGCTTTGGCCATACTAGTACTTATAAACCGCAGACTTACCGTGGTAAAAAGCGCCACCTGCCAGTTCTGCAGCCACCATTCGCACCGCAGGACGGGAGCCAGAACAGCAATCATCATCACTACCATGGCGTTCGATATCTGGGAAATACACAACTAGATATAGAACATTCTATCGGTTGATACACAGAGCGCTAATAATTTAATTTATACACTTAAAAAAAACTCTCCTTTCGAATATGATAGAAAGAATTCGAAGCCATTCTAAATGTACTCACGGATAAGGCGCCGACGAAGAAGATGATCATGACCTGGAAGCGGCCGAAGCCCACCCGCTCTACGGCATCCTCCACGGTGAAGAACCGCATGTCGTCCGCATCCACCACATCCGGGTCCTCGGTGTCGTCATTTACCAACAGGGGCTGCTGGGACTCTTGGTAACAACAGTTTTATTTGTTGAGTTGAAGAAAGTGCGTGGAAATAAAAACATTTGGATTATCTGGGCCTCAATCACCACCGTCTCTCCAGTCGTACTTAGTTCGGTAACAAATGAAAATCCCCTGTCGAAATCCCCAACCTGTTCATTAATTGACTGAGCTACTAATTTACAAAACAATTGTATATCCTGTTTTTTTTCCTTACCGTCGTCCTCCTCGCTGCCCATGCTGGAGGTGCGGGACCGGGAGGTTCTGTGTTTCACGTCCATCTCCAGCCACATACCGGCGGTCTTCTATATTCAAATCCGAAAGGATAGACATGTTGTTTAATGCTTAGGTCACATTTGCAAACCGGAGCCCGGCCGGGCTGTTTGTATGAACGACAAATTAACAATCCATATCAAGAGTATAGTGATATAGTACCCATGATTATCATAAAAAACGTTTCTGTGTTTTGTTGACTTTTATATCGTACTTTTCGTTCCCAAAAGCTGCCCGGCCGGGCCCCGGTTTGGAAATGTGCCCTCAGCATATGGCAACAGTACTAGGATTCTTATTCCTATGGAGGTACATGATTCACTCCGTCATTGAGCTCAACCGGCGTTGACCCCTCCCATTTCATGAAAACGCTATCGATCAGGTTTCCAAGCTTTCTTCTTTCAATAGATACTAGTACTATAGACTACATGTAGATGCAGACAACAGCTGGATAACGTGCTAGAAATCTAGTCTGCAAGCTGGACCCTCTATGGCCGGCCAACTCCTCTGGCCAATGATGTTCCTCTTAGCCGATTTCCGAATTATTTATTCAGCCTGCAAAGGAGTCTGGTGGAGACTAATAGAAATCAACAGACGTCACAACCTTGGTCCCCAGCCATCTTGTTGAGTTGACCTTTTCCCCGGTGACCCGCTGTTTACAACAGTAACTCACATTTATAGTTTGGGAACGATGTTCAGTACCCAGAAGTGTTCATTTTTATTTATTTCAATGTTATTTGTTTATTTCAACATGCCGTCTTTCGTTTAAATTTTCAGACCTCGGTGACCGAAAAGATTGGGTTACAAAATACTGAGTGAGAAAATATGAGGTTCGACATCATGAAAGTTATTTCTGAATTTGCCCGGAGTAAGCTAGTTTTGGCTACTGTACGTGTCATCTCAAAACGAGAACGTGACAGGTCAGGGACGATTGTCGACAGTCTATATCATGAATAATTCATCAGTACCTACAACCACAACAATCAATACTAGTACTACTAGTATATAAACGGACCAAAAAATCTCCGAGGAAGGAATGCTTCAAATCATGTGTTGGGCTACCAGGAGTGGACAAGAGGAATATTTCTAAGCGCACCCAAAACAGCTTTTTTAGACACAATGGCACCCAATATCTGCTTGAAAGTAAAAAGAAATTGGACACGGCTGTCCTATTTTTGGTATCCCGGAAGTGGAGCCTGCAGATCTGCCCCCCACCCATATACTACGTGCTACCTAGCTAGTCCCTTGACCCTCCTGGTCGTTGTGGGGACAAGATACATTTGTGAGTAAATATTACTTGAACGTATACGAGTACGTACGTTTAATGGCGAAGAAGGGTCATTTCCAAGCTGGAGTCAGAAGGTTGTCCGTCAGGAAACGCCCTTTTAGTCTCGATTTTCAAACTCTGTACGTAACGTTGGTTGTAGAGATGCTCCCAGTGTTGCCAAGAATAACTGACAGACTAGAGACTCGATATCGGGTAAACTTAATAGTCGTCTATACCGGCGTCTCCTTATCACATGCTGTGTCTGTCCAGCTCGGCGAAGGTACCGCAGTACCGCGTTTAAACTGTTGCATATGCTAACGTATATGTACGATCGTCAAGACTCATCGCCAGGCATACTTTAACTCTCCTTTACTGAAACGTAGTGTAGATAAAATCTAACCCAGATGTGAAAGACTCCTACAGATTCTGTAAACGCAATACTACATACACAACGCGATATCGGTGTCCATACGGTATCAGAATTCAGATGACGGGTTCCAACTCCTGACCTCTCACCTATGTCGCAGAACCGGTGTGACTGCTGTCCCAGTGACGTCAGATGTAATATGATCTCCTTGTGTGTACTTGCGGGTCGGTGCACTGTAAATCATAGGGGTGATTATGGGAGGGGTTATTCTATTTACCATTGACTATGCCAATATAGGGTAAAATATTACACATGTGTTCAGACTCATCGCCAATTTGATGACAGGCTCTAAAAACACGTCTCTGAACATTGTATTCTGTATTAAGTATTTGCTTTGTGTTTCTGACTTGTTGTTTAATCATCCTGTCTCAAGTTTGTCTGTATAAACAGACTGTAATGGTTACAACTACATGTATCAAACAGTTGCTGTACATATCTTGGATTCGTTGACTGATTTAGGGCATCACCAGTGGACAGGCATATATCAAGAAATGTACTCAAGACGACAATACAACTGATAGAGTACTTACTAGCAAGCCAGTCTTCAACACAACACAGTAATCAAAATCAGACACTTGTTTTTATACCGCATTGTATTAAATCTTGTCTGTTGTGCCAGACAATGGGGATAGCAGGCAAAACTATTAAACATATGCTTGGAAATAATTACGTGCCAATCTTAATAAGTAACATGTTCATGATATGTACATTGTGCTCCTAGTTCTGCACATTCATTACTTCTGAGCTGCCACATTGGCTTTACTAACCTTATTTTTAACCAGCATTTTTCACAAATTAAATACACCTGTCACTTTTTTGGTGACTGTTAGAATATAGAACAATGCAAAAGTTATCCAAGTAACTTTTGATATAAACCAACATTAAATTTTGCTTGTATACAAAAATATTACATGGTATGAAGTTGAATCCTTTAGTTAGCTTTAACTGAATCTGAACACCATTAGCCACAGTACACCCCCGTCCCTCATGAACTGAACCGCTGCCAACACGTGTCCTTCAGGCAGCCTCTTCTCTGGGCTGCTGGGGATCTGTGGAAACCACATGTACATCATCCTGAAATGATATAGATCATAATGAATCAACAAAACATTACTAGTATCTGATATATAGATAACATGTAACTTTGAGTAGAATTTGTGTAATAAATAGAATTTGAGTAATAATCAGCTATGTATTGCACTTACAGAAGCAAGCAACAGAAAACGCATGCTGTTACATGGGCCATGGCCATGAATGGTTACCTGCAGTTTTCTGCCCATGGTGTCCTGTGGCAGTAACAAGGCTACCAGACAGCAGAAGCCGGCCAGCCCCCCGTACACGTACAGCGCCAGAGACAAGGAGTAGTTCAGTAAAACCTGGGGACACCGATATTCGTCAACATGCAGACCATGTACAGACGCCAGAAATATGCGCCAGGGTAGATTGTTAAAATAGGGAATGAAAGCGGTTATACAAACTTGCCATTGAATTGTAGCATGATGCCCTCTGAATAAATAAAAATTACAAATTTAGCAATATATTACATCTATAAGACCTGGTAATATCTGTTGGCAGGGTAGCGTAAAAGTTACAAGTTAAAGTTACAAAAGACAAGTAAACTATGTATATTGTACAGTTCAAATCTGACCTGTGCAATGAAGGGGGTAGTCATCGCTCCTACCCTTGCGACTGCGCTGCATGTCCCCATGGCGAGAGCTCGGACATTGGTTGGGAAATACTGAGAAGACGACAGAATACAAAAATGTCAACTTCGAATTCTTCTCGATAAAACAGATTTGGGTAGTCGACCTACCGTTTTGATGAGTACGCAGTGAATAGAAGTGTCCAGAAATACATCTAATTTTTTCCAATGCCATTAACTAGTTGAGTCAGGATCGAGCCTCATCACAAAGCAAGCACGTTGTACACTATAGCAGTGCATCACCTCTGCTGTGTAGATGTACACTATGTTGAAAGTGCCACTGATGAAGGCGCGAGCACCAAAGACGAAGAAGGTGGTCCAGGCAGCAGACGTGCACAGGTTCAGCAGCATGAAGAACGTACACACCAGGGCCAGGTTCAACGTCATGGTCAGCTTCCGCCCGATTATGTCCACCAGGAGAAGGTTGATCGGCATTTCTGAGAAAATTTTTGAAACTGAGATAAACTAACGCCAAGAAGAACAATGCAAACCAGTTATGATCACAACGTTCGAATTCTAGGATTGACTGCAAAGTAAACGTAAAGCTTCTGATCGTAAAAAAAAAGCATATTCTCAACAGGCTCTATACACTTTCGTAACTACAAGCATTTGGATGCTGTAATTATGAGCAGATTCAATGTTAGAAACCATGAGGTACAATTCCTTAAATGTTTTGCTTTCGTCAAGTATCTAAAGGAATCGGAAGACAACATAAATTTCTCACGGATGAACTCCCCGTACGTGGAGACGATCATGGAGATGTAGTCTTTACTGGTGAGAGGTTTACAGGAGCAGGGGATGACGTCAGAGGAGGCGGGGACAGCTGAGCCTGTAGAGGATGTGTGGTGCACTGGTTACATGTAGGTCTGGGCTGATTCAAAACGTCATCGACGAGTAGACGATTTAACACTAAGTTATGATAGGCCCGACCGTATCAGTCTCCGATACATCGTAAAATGTAAATTACACATAGACTTGATAACGATGACAATGGTGTTCATAAAATCACGTACATCTGTGAGCCATCATAATAGCAACCATTATGTGAGGTGTTATCAGAATAATAACCTGTGCAGGACGCTTTACTCTCTATGATCTCAGAACTGACAAGGATGATGCCGTAGTACAGTGCGCCTGCGCCGCACCTGGACATAGGACAGGTCAAATAAAAACATTCGAGCAATTACAAAATCTAACATTCCTAAATTGCATTGTAATTTTGATTTATAATTATTTAAGTAATTTTAATCAGGGAGAAATCAGAAAATGAATGATGCATAGCATTAAAAAATCACGGGTTTTGGATGGACTAATGATCAAACTTTACCATAAGATCATGTCCTGTATCAAGGTGCGAAGATGCTTTCTTTTGAACAGTTCTTTCATCGTACCACGAGGCGCCTGTCAGGGCAAAACAAAAACGATCTCAATTACGTTAGGATAGGGACAGCCTCAGACAGAAATACAGTATAAATTTCTCATGGAATTCTTCTATAGGTTAGTGTTTATTTGGCGCACATGGACGAATAGAACTCAACAGTCACAAACTAGTCATTGGTTTATACAGCCTTTCGCTTCTAGCTAATTTCAGTTTCCATAATCCCCTCGCACCCTACTTGGAGATTATGTCTAGCAGTTTTGAAATTTGCTGACCTCAGATGACTTGACAAGTCTTCCAGGAGGAAGGGTTGCCCTGTTGAGCCTTGCCATCCTCTGCAGTACCTGTAGGGCTTTGACTCTTTTTCCTGCCGCCATGTAGAAGCGGACTGACTCTGGTAGCGCCTGGGAAAAAAGTTATAGAGATTGTCAACATCAGTGAAATTCATGGTCATAGCCGACTTACCGTATGGAAACAACTGTCATTGCAAAACGACGGCACGCAGAAAGCAGTGCATGGTCAGTAACAAGTAGCAATATCAGAACACCGGGCACATACATGTAGCTATAAATAATGACTCTGAACATACGGTGAGTGTGCGTATAACACATTTCAGGTTGAAATGATAGTCAGTCCCCCTCAATGTACTCTACGCCGAATTGTAGATTACCTTGAAAAATATAAGGACGAAAAACCCCGGAATGCAGGAGAACACTATGAGGTAACGCCACCCCAGCGTCGGTACCACCAAGTACGCCAACATGATGGTGCCCGATCCGCCTAAAGACCAAAATATCTGCAAAAACAATTCGTGTTAGTCTTCATACAATGACCAGCACAAAGAAGAAAATCCATATATTATAAAACAATCCAAGAATTACAAACACCAAGATTATGTCCAAAATCCAAAACATGGCAACATACCATGTCAAATTGTTTCTGTTCAACTCGTTGCAGAAAAAAATGCAACATTGAAACTCAGAAATGTTGATTTGATTTTGATCTTATTTGGATTGCGAGAATACAAATAGAGCACAGTGTGTTTACATACGGCGTAGATGAGATGGGCCTTCGCTCTGTATTTGGACGGCATGAATTCCATCAACAACGTATCACTGAAACGGACGAACTTATATTAATTAAGTAAGTATCAAAAATGCAGTAAATGTGTGAAAAACTTCACAACTTATAGCTAGAAGGCGCTGCGGATAAAATTTTACTTTACAGCTCTGTTGGATATTACAGACGCAGTGTGGACCATTTTGCGTATTCTCCAAGCATATAGGTGTCGGTAGGGGGTTTTGGACTGGCTAATAGGGATGGGCAGGAGGTGGCGGGATTGCAGCGCTAAAAATCCTGGCCCATCCCTATTATCAACTCGAAATCCCCTACCGACACCTCTGCTTGGAGAATACTTCACTATTGCATATAGCGCGCAATAACAATGGATTATTATCAGCTGCGCATGGTTAGTATCGTAAGTGAAAACATTAAGAGTAGAATTGGGGATCCGGAAAGATACAGACAAGTGCAAAAACAACAAGACAAGTGCATTGGTGCTATTAATTACACCAGGACAGGCGGGCACCTCAATGCAGCGATGCCTGTCCCAGCTGTCCCAGCCAACGTGACTTACATCTGCGTCCCCCCGGCAAACGTCACTCCCAACATGGTCCGCAGTATGACCACCCAGTAGTAATTCGGGCTGAACGCCGTCAGGAAGTTAAAGCAAACCAATCCAAAGACCACCATCCACAGAACCTGTAAAGATAGGTACGGAGAGGCATGGTTCATGTTGAAACTGGTACTGGGCGACTAGTTTGACAATACAAAGTAACGGCGAATGACTATGATAAATACAGTTACAATAAGGTTGCAAGTTGCAAACGTCTCTTACTTTGATGTCACACATAGTATAGATAGTCCTTTTGGACAATGGTCGATAGTACGAGTATCATACTTCCATATGATTTTCTTCCCGGTGTAAAACGTTCTCACTTGTCACAGCTATCAACGTAACAGCAAACAAACAAACATATAAACAGCAGAACTCGTCCTTACCGGCCACCTGCCGTACCTGTCTGCAACTGTGCCGAACGGAATACTGAAGACCAACATTCCCAAAAACAGCATCTAGACAGGAATAAAATCAACACATTTGCGGCAAAGAGAGCGGTCTGGTGCATGTAGATAACCTACCCATGGTTTCTTTTTATCATATCCAACAGATCTTATACCAGAATCAAGTTTCGACAAAATGTGCCTACCATGGATACTAATACTAGATGTCTGCTAAAGTGTGCCAATCGCCGGTGCCATGTATCTACAAACACAATGTATAAACCGCAGACTTACGGTTGTGAAAAGCGCCACCTGCCAGTTCTGCAGCCACCATTCACACCGCAGGACGGGAGCCAAAACGGCAATCAACATCGTTGCCATGGAGTTCGATGTCTGGGAAAACACGACTAGATATGGAACATTCTACATCGGGTGATACACAGAGACAATCCATACACGTTTAAAAGCTCTCTTTGTTGAATATGATAGAAAGAAACCATAATGATTGTAAATGTACTCACGGCGAAGGCACCTAGGAAGAAGATGATCATGACCTGGAAGCGGCCGAAGCCCACCCGCTCTACGGCATCCTCCACGGTGAAGAACCGCATGTCGTCCGCATCCACCACATCCGGGTCCTCGGTGTCGTCATTTACCAACAGGGGCTGCTGGGACTCTTGGTAACAAGTTTGCGAAGAAAGTGCGTGGACATAGTAATCATTTTGAATAACATTCCAACTAAAATAAAACTAAAGGTTATTAATTGATTGATGATCTGATAAACATTGGTCAAATATGACGTTTTCCTGATTCCAGGGCAGGCACTGAACGACTGCCTTATCATGTCCGTCCATCCAGTTGTATTGATTTTTTGCCAGACAAAAAGTTTTACTGCCAAAATCAACCTGTTCTTTAATTGGGTTTTGTCCTTACCTCCGTCCTCCTCTCTGCCCATGCTGGAGGTGTTGGACCGGGAAGGTCTGTGTTTCACATCCATCTCCAAACACTGACGGGCAGTCTTCTCCTAAAATGGCAAAATCCGAAAAGCTACACATAATTTTTTTATGGACGTAAACGTACTATTGGATTCTTCCACTTATGGAGATGCTTGTTTGGTCCGTCATCGAGTTCAACCGTTGATCCTTCCCATTCCACGATACAAAGCCATCGCACCAGGTTTCCGAACTTTTTTTTTCAAATGATAATATTTAAAACAGACATTAGCTGGGTGGACCTACGTGCAGAAGTCATAATCTTGTTCCCCAGCCATGTTACTAAAGTACCTCACATTTATATAAACATTTTCGCCTAAATCAGTTACTGGTAGTAGCTAAATTGTCTTTTTGAAATGTAAATAAACATGCCTGGCCTGTAGTGAGAAAATAGAGGGTTCGACATCATAAATGGTCACTAACAAGATGACTTTGAATCGTATACAACCAGCGTTAAACAGGGTACTAAGACCTTACCAAAATGGATTTTGCCCTGGGCACTCAACGACCTCACACATTCTAGCACTTATAGGAGGCTGATCACTGCAAGTATTACAAGATGACCGTGAATTGTCCCCTTACCTTTTTGCGGTAGTTCTTCTAGAATATGTTATACGACAGACCATAGATAACCAAGAACTAGAACTGGGTTTCGAGATTGAGAGAAGAAAAAGTAGTGGACACCCACCTGTCGTCATAAACGACCTAGATTTTTCAGATGACACCGCCAATCCTAGACAAAAGCCATGATACACATCGCCAGGTACTTTTAAGTGCCAAAACTCTTTTTTTTACTGACACTAAGACTTAGTGTATACAAAATCTAACCCATATGAGATGTGAAATATTCCTACAGATTCTGTAAACGCAATACAGTACTACATACATACACAACGCGATGTCGGTGTCCAAACCGTATCAGATGACAGGTTTCAACTCTTGCTTGACCTCTCACCTCAATATCTTTTAGTCGCAAAACTGGTGTGACTACTGTCCTGTGACGTCATGTGTAATACTAGAGTAGATATCTGCTGCTTGTGAAGCATCTATTAACAGATTTGCTTGGTTGTTTGACATGGCGGGTTATGAGAAATAAGTAATACAGTACTGTTGGTATAAAACGGACAGGGCAGGTAATGTAAGGGTTTTCGGCTCAGCTCTGACAATACTGCACGCAGCAGAGCGAAGGCGGGAGGACAGGAAGTTCCAGTGTAACATAATCTACTTAGTATGTGGCACCTGTTTACACTACAAACACAGACATGTTCTCTCTCTGAAGAATCCAGGGAACCAGCATTACTTTCTGTCTCTTGACGTGTTAGGCTCATCACATATTGATACATGAAGGTCACCCGAAGACATTCCCCAATTGGAAATTGTATTTAAAGGTTTCAGTGTTTCAACTATTAACGAAACACACCGTGTTCACAGCTCACTACTTAGTGTTGAATATAGCTGCGACTATTAGCAATTTCACACTGACATTACGACACACTGAAGAAAGAAAAAAATGAAATATGAGTAAATGAAAATGCATTCCAGATCGTAAGGGTAGGTGCAAATTTGCAATTTGACCAATAATTATTACATCTACTTTATGAAACTCATTCAAATTCATTACATTAGTTTCATATATCAACCAAATGATGCTGATTTACCAGAACATTGTTACGTTCGCCTGCAACATTGCTACCGGCCATTATCCATATGAGACTCAGTCCACATTATTCCTTTTCACCCCCCTCCCCTGTTTGTTCAGGATACACACGTTTTAGTAAAACCTTTACTACAGTTGTGAATTTCTGTGAATTGTAGCAGTTATTTAGCGTACGGAGATCTCTCTGTTAGGCCTTATTCTCTACACCCTATCCTACAGAACGTTATCTCATGCAAGACTACAACTACTTGATATTCGAAATAACCGGGAAGCATCTAAAATATAAATGCTGCTTGTTTGATCCATCAGGCAGGTTCGTGTGTCATCAGCACATCTGTCGTCAGGGCTGCAATCATCGATAATCGGATGCTGTGGCCCGGGAGCTGGCAGATGGAGTCTCAGGCTTTGTTGGAGTTGTTGACGTCGATGTACAACTTCCAGGAACCACCGATCTTCTTCCAGATGACAACGTACCTAAACAAACATCATGCCACAATTAAAAAAAGCTCCATTTCTTTTGCAGAAGTTTTGATATATACATATGTGTAGTCCTTTTTATTCACTGGTATTAGAAGTTCTCTTAACTTCGCCATACGGAACGAAGAAAGAAAATGAAATACAGTTGTTAGCGTGCTCAACTTTTCTGTTTTCCCAACTTTATTTACAGGTTTGTATCTCCATACTTACTTGCCCACATCGATGACGCTGCCGTCCTCCTTCCAGACGGTGTAGGCGCTGCGCTCGTAAGCAGCATCGTCTCCCATCTGTTCCAGTTCCTCGGTAACCAACTCCAGGGAGCGAGCACCCTCCGCCCACATACCCGACAAAGACGTCGCCATGCCTGCGTATGGCATGTGGTGGAGAGGTATGAAACATAGAAATGCCCTGTCAAAACTCCTTTTGTGGTCATGTCGGAAGGGTCACCGTAGCGCTAGATCTGAAATTTTGGCCCTAGCTACCTGAGATTTTTTCCAGTTGTCGTGTTTTGGTCGCTTAGCTGTCACTATATCACAAGCAAATCTTTGTGATAGATATATGGACGGATGGTAGTATGGATGGGAAAAATGAGTACCAGTTTACGTAATGCAACCACAAGCATCTTTAAACCACAAATATAGCGGACATGTTGTGATGGACACATCACTAGAATCACCCCCAGGCATACATTTTGCATATTTACAAGGGATACTATTATCCCCATCCGTCAGCCCACCTTGGCGGCCATGCACTGTCTCCTTCCCCGGCACCAGTAGTTTACAGTCCTCGGCGTACAGCTCGGAAAGGCCCTTCATGTCGTTGGCCTTGAAACAGTCCATCAGCTTCTGGTTTTGTGCGGCGATTTGAGCCTTGAAGTCTGTCGTGGAAGGACAACAGTGATGTCACTTTGAATTTTAAAATCGTGGGAACCTCAGCAAGGGCACCATATATTTTGCAGGTCATACATCTCACAAGGCTAGCTGTTTGAAAGGGTATGCTTGCTTCTATATTAGGCCATGTTGATTTGATTATATGGATGACATCCGATGGGAACCCCAAAACTGACGCGAGCGTGCGGATAGAAAAAAGTTGGCAAAAAAGTTTCCTTCATTAAGACATCTACGTGGTCATGACTAACACACACAGAGTATGGTATGGTGAATAGACTGAGTCTCTTCATTTTCATTTCTTCACATTTTCTTCTTTTCCTGAATTGATTTCGGCATTCTGTGACATTAGTATTCGTTTTCCAATACTTGTTTTCAAACATACGACATATATTCGCTCATTTTCTCCGATTTACAGTATGGTCGAAAGCTTTTTTTGGACACGAACGAAAATTCATGCGCGCGTCGATATAATCAAATCAACTGCAACTTGGCCTTATGGTTACTACAATGTCTACCATGTCAAATACATGTTTTATAGTACTTTAGCATTCTACACAGCATTAACTGTGGTAAGGACCCGAAATTCTTCTGACCCATAACGTCACCCCAAGGCACTAAATTGCAACTGGCATTGAATGTTAATAATACAACCCAGCATCATAAAGAGTTACTTTCCTTGACTGTCGTAAGCTAGCAATCCTCGAGTAGCACTTTGTTCGAAGCTCTACAAATGCATTCGCAAATGATTCCATCCGTCACGCTTTCCTCATTTTCGGACAACAGTTTTTCATTTCCCCACTAAGGTCGGCCCAATGGACTGAAGACATGTTAGGAACAAAGTGCCTCATTAACATGCTACATACGTGGCACACGAGGGCCCAATTATCGACATAGCTGAGTGATATGCAAAGAGAGACAACGCCCCGGGTAGCGGGGGAAATATTTTGCACTACTTCAAACTTGCCAGCAAATGAGTTTGAAATAACACTGCCGTTTGAAGGGAAGGATGCACTCAATGAGTATTAACATAGTTTCGTTGAAGTTGGTAGACATTGTGATACCTACTAGAAAGAAGGTCTATGTAAGTTGCAAGGTCATATAACAAAAGCACTCCGTCACTTTAGGCGACAAAATCGGCGTGTTTTCTCACGCTAGTTGTGGGATAGGTGCCCATTGTCCCGTTCAACCAAATATACATATATACCAAAATATGACAGAAAAGAAATCGGTCTATGCGACCAGCGTCAGCGCAGAAATTGAAGACATAACCAGCAGTACGAAAAGTGAACGTCTTACCCGCCATCTTGCTGGAATCCGATGATGACCTTGACTGTTGTGACCTGTGACGTTATCACGTGGACGTACCGTAAGTTGCTATCATATTTCTATCTTAAAACTTGCATTTGTCTACCTGAGGAGGTAATGAACTATTCACCATGGGATACTTAGCACTCACTTAGGTGAAAAAAAACGTTCCTCAGACGACAGCTTTTGTACTTCATTTAGTTAGGGCTAGTGTATTTTATAGTCCACACAGTTCCGAAGGTACTGTATTTCATATACATATGCAAGGATTTGTTATGGTGAAAACAACTGTTGATCAGAGATATAGGTAAGAGTTTTTTTTTATTCCAGCAATTCGTGACTAGACATGGTGACAGCACACTCAAGTTATATCAACTTATTTTATGCCACCACCAACGCAGAGGACAAATACAGGACAGGACAATACTCATTCTCACTTGAGTTAGGTGAGGAAAGTCATGTAAAGTGCCTTTCCCAATGGCACAAGATCGGTGGCGTGTCAGGACTCGAACCCGGGACCTCTTGGCTCCGAGTCGAGCGCTCTGCCGCTACGCCACACAACCCCACGAAGCAAAGGAGTTTCGATGGGTATATAGCTCAAAACTATAGCTAGCTTAAACATCTTAAGTATTCTAAATATTGTTTTAATATAATTATATTTAGATTCAAATATAAACTACTGACTTGAATGAAAAATGCACCATGTTTGTCGAAAAGAACATTTAAATGAAGTTTCCCGGCATTTTAACGTGAAAAAGACTCATTGACACAATAAATTGTATTACAATTCAAGTCTCGACATGATAATTTGCATAAAACTTACCATTACTATTACTCATGACACCATATATTTCTATCACAGATGTACCGATGTAAGTTTACTTTTCAAGTGTAAGGGCTTGGAAGAATAAGTGTCCTTTAAGTTAATAATAGCCTACATACGCCGTTGTCGGTGAATTAAAATATTGTTTTATAGCTAATGTATATTATGACTGACAGCAGTTTATGAATCCCTATGATCCATATATTAGTAATATTTGTTTCTATCTTAGTCATTCTTATAATATAGGGGAAGATAGGATATTCTAATACCCGGTTACAACACATATAGGCGCCATGTATGAACGTGCTGAGGTGACGGTACAAATGACAACTCATCCTCAGCGGTCATCTCTGTAGTAGTGCGCGAAGAGCCTGCAAAAGAAAATGGGAACCCGGAAAAAAGTCACATATCCTCATAAATATCTCACTATAAAACTAAAGTTTGCTTCAAAAACCAATTTTGGAAGAAAACAGGATGCGAGGGCCAACTAAACGTGGCGCTATAATATTTCAACATACCACAGGTTTCATCTTCGGTTGTAAGGTGCGCTTCTTGGGTAATCCTAATGGGGGCGCTCCTTCTGCGTTTCTGGCAAAAAACGAAATGACGTCATTACATGACCCTCTCCATCTGAAATCATGAAATGGATCATCGATACACATTAATGTTTTGACACCTTGCTATGAATATAATCACGTCTGTAGAACACTAAGCAACTTTTTAAACACGACATGTTTTCTTCTGCGTACTAGTACTCTTCTGAAAATAGTTCCATCGTAGGCATAAAATGAGGAATTTAGATTTACAGCGCTACCTAGTTAGGTCAAATGACACCTTTTTCTTCCAGACAGTACATTTTAATACCATAAGAACACAATCTTTACTTTTCCTCCCTGGCTCTCATCAGCTGTGTCTTCTCCAGAGTCGCTAACCACTCAGCTCGCACGGCGGCGTCCCGCTCCCGCCTCATGAAGTCCCGCTCCTGCACCACCTCCTCCAGCTCCCGCTCCAACTCCGAGATCCTCGAGGTCGCCAGATCTCTGTCTCTACAGGAGACCAGGAGGTTTTATTAGAAGATAATCAGATGACTGTGTCTGAGACTAACATTTGCACCAGCCTATTATAAAGGCGTGCGCTCTAGAATTACTAGTTGCATTGCCCGATTGTCAAATGTTGAGCAGAGTGTAAATTACGTCCCGATAATGACCTTAACAAATTGAAAGATGTACACGATAAATCAGCTGCCAGTTTCTCACCTAATGGCGTCTTCTTTCTCTTCATAAATCATCTTCTGTGCCTCTCTGAAGTCACTGAGTTCCTTTTCGAGAGCCTGTACCTTCACCTGTAAGTCCTTCAGCATCTGTTTCTCCATGGCCTTCTGCTGAGTCCTGATCTTGTCCTGTAGTAACCTCTCCTCCAGGGCCTTTGCTCGGGTTCTCAGCATCCCGCCCACCAACCGCTCCAGCACAAAGTTTTCATCCTCCAAACCCGCCTCAATCTCTCCTGCCAGTTTCTTTGCCTTCGTCTTTAACTTTAGTCTCTGTCCAGTCTCAAGACGATGGCTGTCTTGGTCCACTGACACATAGAGGACAGGATGTTTCGTTGCTGACATGATGGTGAGGAATAGACAGGCAGGATTGTTATTTCAGAAGGGTCGTTCAGGTTTGTCAAAAATCGACATTTTGACTGCCCTTACGTTTATAGTAATCCCCATGACCCAAATCTGCACGCATTAAACTTAAGCTTTATAGTGTAATCAATCTGTTTATACCGTTAAAACGTGTAAATGTTCCCTCATTTTGGCGCTGCTTGTCCCTGAGTAGTCTCTCCAGTTCTCTCTGGTTCGTGTCGACGAGTACGTCACAAAACCTGCCCACTACATCCGGGTCCTGCTGCCTCAGCAGGGTCAATAACCTCGCCTTCCGCCGGCCGGTGGTGGATTCAGCCTGGATAATGCGGGCACGACACGGTCATGCTACACTTCGGTTACTTTCAAATGTTGTACAGAACCGTAAAGAACGAAATTCAGAAAGGAAAGAAGTGTTTGTTTTTCGAAACATTGAACTTGTGGATGCAACCAACAAACGTCACGGTTTATTCTTGCAAGCGTGACAAAAGCGATCATGCTCAACTTTATCTTCGTCACTCTTTCCCTACGTCAGGACTACACCCATGGTATATCCATGAGCCAAATCGTCTATCGAGACAAGAGGTATCACAGAAAAGCCTATCTGCCGTCATGACCTACCTTTATTCGTTTGATCTGCTCCGAAGAGAAGACGTCCTTGGCCAGGAGGAGCCGGTAGAACCTGGGGCTCAGCTCCAGCTCGGACAAGAGTACCTGGAAGCTGTCGTCAATCCTCCTGACGTGCGCCTGGAGCTGGTCCATCCCTGACCGAGGGACGGGGACGCGTCATGCAAAATTGTACAGACGAGCAGTGGCCGCTGATCAGATTGTATTCTTTTTAAAACATGCGAATTAAGCTGTCTTATCAAATGCATAACTGTGCTGTACGGCTTGTGTCAAACAAATTTCTCTTGTCGAAATTAGATTCTAAGAAATGGACTTGGTAAGGAAACCACAGAATCGTAAGAAACAAAAAAATCAATAGAAACCGTATAAGATTACCTTTTGGTGATGGTAAGATTTTTTCACGTGCAGCACATGACAAAACCCTCCGTACAATCCAACATAGAATTACGCTGCAGACTGGGTATTACAATCGAGGCGGTAAGAGATTCAGATAACTTGGACAAATATGAGTACCAAAATAAGTACCAAAATCAGTCAGCAAGCAACCGAAAATTTGCTTACAACTGAACGATCAGAATTCCACTAGTAACATGTTGCTAGGAGAAAGCCAGGCGTTATTATCACATAAGCACACTCATGCTGTGGAGGGTATCACGAGTGTTTTCAATATCCACTTACATCTTTCAGTGGTTGGCTGTTTGCATAAACATAACGACCGTTTCAAGCAGAGGTCCGGGAAACAAGTGGGTCAACTGTCCATAAGAAAATGGCGCTAAGTGACGTCATTGTTCAATTGTTCAAAATGCGTCATATATGAAATGACAATAATGGGCTCAAGTCTTCATTCAAATATCATCATTAGAAAAAGAATCACATATCTTCTTTATCCGAATGTACACATATTAATCAACATAGCAGTTTCATTTGTTTAATTAAAGCTACCTTCTTGCCCCGTATGACAAGCACGCAAAAACATATACCAAAAAGAAAAGTTTTCAAACGTTTATTTTTGACACATATTAACACATAGTGAACAGTACATTTAAGACAAGACGATGATCCCACTTTCTCTAAGGTCTGGTTTTCTTTGTGCAGACCAGTAGAGGAGACCCTCCCTCCTCGCTGCCTGTTCCCAAACATCTCTATAGTTACAACATACCATCCAACCATTTCATTAACTGAAGCAACATCTCGCGTTCTGTCGCGAGATCTCAGTATCCTTGGAGCATAAGAATAGCACGTTTTGACATCGGATCCACAATTCAACCAATCATCAAATATATCCAAATATATAGTAGATGCTTCGTAAGCCTTCTCCCTATTATGTGGATGGGGTTGATGTCAAAGAACTCTCTGTTCTCCTGATTTACGTACATGTAAGACATGTGAAACCACCGTATTCCCCTATAACTTATACATACTCAGACAAAGTCTAAGTAAGCTCTTCGTACATCGTACGTCACAGATGTTACAGACATACTCTTGTGGGGATGGCAGCCTTTCCTCGACTAGACATGGTGACAGTACCAAGTGGTTCGGGTTTTTTGATTGATCTCAGTTGATGGCACTTTATCTTTCAGTTCCGTAGATGCGTGGAAATTACCAGGCTATTAACTCTACAGAACAGACAAACTGAGATGTTGTTCTCTTCTAGTCGATGTGTTCATCTCTATCGAGGAAAGTTGTGAAGGGTCTCATGGGCACTCTAATGCCTACAGACCTTATCTATTACAGTTCCATTTTGATATCATGATACAACGTATTAACATGACTAAATACAATGATAACATCTATATTGCAAGAAGGTCACTATGCATTAAACCAAGATCGTTGTAGAGAGTTGTATGAAGTACATTGAATATAAACAAACTGCGTGTCATAAGAACATGTGAGGAGAATTGCACAGAGAAAATACATTATTGAAAATGCAGTCAGGGCCGATCTTTGGGCTCTTCTAGGGCAAGATCGTAACATAACCTTCATCGCGGTAATGCACACCGCTGCCGCTTAGTGTGCACCACTTGCTCTCGCCGGGATGCAGACCTCACACCCCGGCATAGAATTTCAGACATTTACGACATGCTGCTCTTTTGTATTGCTGTATGTTTACAAGTGAAAAAGGTCCTTCACGCGATGCTTTGATGGTGACTACTTCTCCAAGAAAGAAATGTCCATCTAATTTACGGTTTCCCATTTTTGAGAGATTCTCCAGAAATAAGATCATAACATATTTTGACGAACCTACGGTGGTACTGATCCGTGCATTATTTAACGATATATGATATCGATATCTGGTCGGTTAATACGGCATCATTTCACGTTTTGTTGCAACGTAATATCAACGCTTGGCCTAATAGTTTAACTCTTGACCCATCTAATCCGCTGAAGTGGCGGCTTCTGGCATGTACTATATCGATAAGTACACCGTATTCGCCATTGAACATATGGCAGGAAACTTCATGATTAAACATTTACGATTGCCGACTTCTCACAAACACAGCTGAATGCGTCATGAAAGCTGTAAAGTTTTGACAAATGGGACAACTAAGAGAACTAAATTTTGACAGCAACGCCCAGTTTCGACAACAATTGCTAATGTCGAGAAGTCAATTGTTTTTAATCTGTGCAATCTGCCCATGACTCCTACTATTGACACATCGTTGGCAATTTTGCAAAATCTAAGGAGCTGTACATTAAAATCATAGATCGAGGCAATCCGTAGCAGGTCACATTCGTACCATACTCACAGACACTGGCATGGGGTCATAGACTAGAATAACACTGACGAATGCGGGGCGTGACCCTTATGTTCTTAAACGACTTACATGATGACAGACAGATCTCAAAATAGGTTCATACACGACGATTCCGCCGGGTCTCTAACTTGAGCAAGACTTTGTTTCTTCTGGTTTCAATGACGTCTTCACGTCTTTTAGTCGTCCATATGAGCGTCTAGCGGACGGTGAATCCAGAGCCGGGCTGGGTGTAGTTCCGGAGGAAGATGGGGGTCCTCCTGTTGAAAAAAAAGTTGCATACATCATCAATAGGTCTCATTCTAGGCTGATCGCAGGCAGCAATTAAGCTATAGCTTACCCCGTCCCCGATCAAGGAACGATATGGTACGGTGATATCGTGGCAACATACCTAGCACACATGGTGCCTGCTTTGCAGTTCATATAAAGGGTCTAAAATTGTGACAATGTGGCGGAATGCCCATAACGAGTGGTAGCTGACTTGCAGACTTGAACGTGGGACAATATGGCTGTCGTACAACAACAAACACGACATTCCCCCGGGAATAGCCAGCGGTGGAATCACAGGCGGAGTTTGATGGCCTAGGGTTGGTTTGTTGTCCCTTCTGACGGATTGTCACCACACTTATTTCCCTCTAATTGATACTAAGCAAATCTATCTTTTGCTGTTCCAAGTGAATTCTTTCATCAGTGACAACTTTGGAAGGATAAGGATACTAACCTCCAAATTTTCGATGGCTATCAGTCCATCTTGTTCACGGAGTGGCCTAATCTCGCGAGAGCGCGAGACTAGCCATCGAAAATTTGGAGGTTAGTATCCTTATCCTTCCAAAGTTGTCACTGATGAAAGAATTCACTTGGAACTGTATCTATACGTGACAAATGAATCTCTTGAACGATATCTTTTGCTGATAATAAAATGCACATCCATCCAGAAGTATCATATCAATACGTATGGAGGGCTGTATGTATTCAGTGCGATACATGACGTTCATGATAGCAATTAAGAGATTAGATTTCGAAACTACGAGAAGCTCAGAGTCTGCCTAGGCGCCGTAATAACAATTGTTTCTTTTGTTAGGGCTTATTTTTACAATATTGAAAACATAGTCCGAGAAAAGGGGTGTAAAATAAACGAGATACCTGTCCTGCTCAAACCACGCTATACATCGACATATGGCAGCATGATTACAGCATTTTATCGTGATGCATACTTTTCACTTCTATAACTTATATAACGACCGTGCTTTTGATAAATAGGTAGACGCTGTTATCTGATACCTTTACTGAAACCCCTTGATGTCGTTTTTTGCTTGCGGTAACCCCGTTTCATTTCACACGCATACTTTCTTTACTTCCGTATCTCGCCTTGTTCTTTGTTGTTGATATAAAGTTTAAATAAAAAAGTCTTTACCGTTGGCGCAGCGATGGCTGCCTGTTGAGCTTCAGGCGGACACTCCAGGAGCCGCTGTTGAAGGCGCTGGGCGGCTGGAAAATCGATCCCGTCGGGTAGACCGGGGGGAAGATGCAGAAGAACTGCCTGGTGAAGTACTTCCTCCGCTCCTTCCCGCCGGCAAAGGTGCAGTCGTAGTTGTAGCTATGCTTGACGTGTTTTTCGTCTCCTCCCGACGAGAAGCTGGTGATGACGGTCATGATGCTTAAGATGCTGGTCCTCCTCTTCTTGAGATACTGAAGATTCTCTTCTCGAAGATGCTGGAGTTCCTTTTCCTGAAGCTCACGGTACCCGAACCACTCGGTACAAGAACAACCGCTGCACTGGCCTCGTCCTGCTGATGGCTGCTATCTGTATCATATAGCAAGGAATTCATAATTGTTTGTGTTTGGGTATCAGTTACAATTCCCGGTGTAAAGGAATACCAATGTCTCTGGCGCATTCTGTTTTCGACAGCATCTGATGACTGCAGTGTATAAGCCGAGTTAAGTGATACTGTCATAAGAAGTGAGGTGGTAGCGTGCGATTCTATCATCTTTACCCAAAATCGCGATCAGCTTACATTGGGCGGTTTCAACGTCTTGTACTACCCATACTCACCTTACTTATTGACATAAAGTCATTTTTATGGAGAACCTGGACATATGGCAATAGAGCTGAATAGAAGTCAGGAGTGGCTCAGGAAAAGACACGAATATAGGAAATAAGAGCAAGATGTGGCTACTTCAAGTTCGTCAAATAACATCTCTGTTTTGTTGGTAAGTTCTCTTGGTGTTGTCCTCTCCCTTACAATACAGAAACCGTATGAAAATATGCGTACGGAGTCACTTATCATTTCTGATACCTTGAGCAGGGGATTGTATATAGCCACACCATGGAAGAAAGATATCTTCTTTACTTATCTCTGATTTATGTCATTATAATTGTTCAACAATTGTAGATGGTTTCGCAGGCTGCCGGATTTGTCCGTACGGACCCATGACGGAGTAGTAGTGACGTAGCCGCCAGTTCTAATGGCCCCGGCGGTAGGTCCGGCGCAGATCGTGTTTCGTTTCTAAAATAAGACGACAAACACGCGTGCTCAGGATTTGTGCAGGCAATCATCGTAATGACTCGTGTCCCCATAGCTCGGTCGAAAGTTCATCACAGTGACATGTGTTTAATGAGCAAGGATGAATCTTCCCTTCCCTTTATATTAAGTTAAGTCAGTGCTCTGATGCGTTACGTCCTAAGGCTGTACGTGTTAGTTGGCGTTAAATTGTTTATAATCAAATAATAACAATAAATGAAACGAATACAACTGCAACTAATGTTGGTAATCAAATACATACTGTATACCAGACACTGCCCAATTTCACCTTCCCGCACTGCTGACTCATGTGTCACGCTGTGTTTAGACTTTCCAACTGTCTATCTGGCCCTGAGCAGGGAGCGATGTCAAAGAACGTGCATTGTTGTACGTATGTCACGGAAGATACCCCGTATCCAGAACATTGCCCACCCTCGTCCCGTCAGTTCTATGTTCTATGAAAGTACTTAAAGAAAATATTTAGGAATATTTACATCTTGATAATGCCACCACACTGTCTTGTTGTGGTTTTTAAAAGAAAGACAGGATGCCCCTTGTTGAGGTGTTTCTCCCACCGGATTTCCCATACGTAAACATGGGGAGTGGAAAACCGCATCACAACCCACAGGTGTGGATCCGCCCCCTCCTCTGCGACGACAGCGGTTGCATATACTCATTATTTCTCAATCTGATTGTGTGTGTGCCAGTGAAAGCACAATGTTATTGATTGCCCTTTCTCATATCATCTTAAGCTATACTGTTTTACTCTGAATCTATGCCTAATTTTCCTAATACTCTTACAAAAATTGCTGATATTTTGAACAGTCGAACAGCGACATCTAGCGACATGTGGCGAAATAGCACCACAACTTCATAACAACGCTAGCCAACGCGGGGAGCGGATCTTGGGTAGCGGACTAAAGCTAACAAGGCTGGATACCAGGCTACGCCAACGCCATCTAGCCAAAATTTAGTAAAATGGCAAATCTGGCAGGCAGAATGGCCCGTTGTTGCCTTGTTACCTGCATGGATCCATGCATCGATCCATCCATGCAATGATTGTTCTGACCTTATTACGTTTGCCGCTGTGGGAAAGACCCCCAGGGGGTCGCGAATAGCTGCTACATATTTCTTACATCATTTTTACCTATGGTTTGCGATATTAGCCCGTCTGGGTTTAAGGTTGCTGAGATATGGGAGGTTGTCCGGAATTAAACTGGAAATCGGGAATTAAACTGGAGGCTGTTTACAGCGAAATCATATCACATATAATTATGTCACAATTAGCACGTTAATTACATTAGCATGTTAATTACGTTAAGTCCTTTGTTCAGTAGAGTTCTCTTCTATCTACAGCTCAACTTATGGTGATGACAAGCAATTTTTTCTTTGTCTAAAAGTTATTAAAGACTGTTTATAGTCAATTGCAATTAAAATTGCTCCAACAAATCTCATATATTACACAATGAAAGTTTCTGACCTTTTAACCATATTTCAAAATACATTTAACAAAACAAATTTACTAATGTAATTTCCATTCATAGATACGAAAAGGAATACTAGACTACTAGGTTGCTATGGATATTGGTCTTGCTATCAATAAATGCCACCTTTTCTTTGGTGATCTTGGTGTGGAGTATGAATTTTGCACTGCACGGATAGTGAGTGAGTGAGTGACATCTTTCACACATGCGCATATTAAAGGTAAAGGTAAAGTGGGCCACCTTAGACTGAGGACGTACAATGACGATTAAAACATGCATATATGCCGCTTTACATGTATGTGTAAGCTACGTGCATGTAGTATAATGCAGCTTCACTGTCTAGTATAGCAAAGCACGGTGGCGTTATCATGGTCATGCCCCAACACTTCTCGATAAGTATGTAGGATTCTTGTATGTGCACTGAGGTTTGACGTCATAAGCTGACATGGCCGCCAAGTTTACAAATAATGACGTCTTCACCCGAAAATTGAATTCCCTGGGTTGAAACCAGAAACCAAGGTGCTGAAACGTTAACTGTTATGCTGTCCACCCCTGCTTCACAGTGGACTAGCCACAGGTTGGGGTCAGGGTTCATAGCCAACAAAACATATACTATCCTGAACGTAGTAGTAAAAGTAACTGAGTAGTACACAGAAGAGACATGTCAGCAACAGGCAAGGGGAGAAAAAGAGTTCTAATGGTTGGCCTGCTGTGTCAAGATATTCTAAATCTGGTAGATCACTATCCGACGGAGGATGAGGACGTGAGGTACGGTAAGCTGGGGAGGGGGGCACGATTGGGCGTGGCATGAGTACACAAATTCATGATCATGCTTTCTGAACTGAAGCGTTAACAACGGGCGAAAATGTCTTACTTGGGGAAAATTACAATCGTATTTATGCATGTCAGCAAATGTTAAATTTTGTATGACCTGCTAGCTATAGGTTCTAGTAAGTATAACGTCTCACATGATGCTTACGTGGTCGATCCTACTGTATCCTGAGTTGTTGTTAGTCGTGTAGGTGTGTGAACCAGTTCTGGCAGAAAGGTGGGAATGCAGCCAACAGTGCCTGTGTCCTGTCCAGTCTGGGAGAGCCCACTGAGTACCTGGGCACGGTGTCCTCCAGGCCAGAGGCAAGGTGAGGACCACTGATGGTCGTGTGTGCTTTCTCATGGTCTCTTGCTGCTTCTCATTTGTCTGTACCCCTCTCATGTTACTTTTGTCCAATTGGTACCCATGTGGTGGTACCATTAGGTTCCCCTCTTTTGTCTTTTTGTGGTTTCTTCTTTTATGTATTTTCAAGCTTGTAACAAAGTATATAAGACACCCATGTAGAAAGCTAGAAAAAATAGTTGCTCAAACAACTGGATATGATTTTGGAAGTGGTCAGATGTTTCAGGTAGCATCTGGTCAGAAAAGTAGGCTTATAAGCTATTGAATTGAAATGCAAATAAGAGAAGACACATTAGAAATGCAAATAAAAGCTACATCTGCTATCTGTCATCAGTAACCGAGAATGAGACTGAAGACAAGTTTAACTTAGTGTTATTTTTAACCTGTATAAGATACATGTATATGAACAAGTGTCTGTTAATTTGTAATTGTGCTACTTTATTGTGACTCTGTCCCCTTTAGATGTGCCCTACAGGAGCTGCAGGACTTTGGTGTACTAACAGAACATGTGGTGTACTCTGACTGCCCCATACCAACCTCCTGTGTTATCATTAACACACAGACTGGCTCCAGGACAATAGTTCATGGTGGCAGGTAGGATTAGAGCTTCAAATTGTTGCCTTCTTGCAAATTAGAAATCATGTAAGGCAATGATGTGAGCTCAAAATTTTAAACAATTCAATCTGATGACATAAAAACTGTACTTGTAAGTATGCTACTTTAGTATTCTCTCTCTCAGAAATGGCCTGCATAGAGGATAATTACAATTATGATAATTCTGTCGACTGAGATATAGTTGATCAACACATTGCTGTACCTGCTGCTGTTCACCTCCAGAAACATGGCAGAATTAACAGCAGCAGATTTCAGCAGCCTGGACCTTAATCATTATAAATGGATTCACTTTGAGGTAAAATAGAATATGCTATTTGATATAGTACATATCAGCTTCTTGTCAGTGAAATATGCATTTAAACCTTTCATCATAATGCGGCACTATAGAGCAGCTCAGATTTGATTATTCTAAGTGTGATTATGACATAATTGTTTCATCACATACATTTATGTACTAAGTAGTGACTAACAAAGTCACCATAGCTCTGTTAAATTTTATTGTGTATTTTTGAAAGTCATTGAAAAGGCCAACAATACACTGTACATGTACTAATAGTGTCATTCTTACCTCCCTCTCTTCCTGTGTCCTAAGGGCAGGAACACTGCGGAAGTTTGCAAGATGATGGAGATTGTTGAGGAGTTCAACAGGAATGTAGTAACCCCTGATGATGCCATCACTCTGTCAACTGAGTGTGAGAAACCAAAGTACAACATGGGATACCTCATTCCCAAAGTAGATGTGGTGAGTACATCACATGGTCAAATGAATAATATTTATGATTATATGTGCAATCTGAATCACATAATACATATTAGTCAGACCTCCATACAATGTTACTTACAGGTTTTGTAGTTAAACAAGCTGTGTACAGAGCAGTGTTGTGTACCTAAGCCCACATTTAGGTTCAGGTCTAGATCAAGACTAAAAAGGCCTGATTATGCCTTACAAAAAAGGGCATGCAGGCCCTCAGTACATACTGTGGTGGTTTGGTTTTACTCCAAGTAAATCATTGGTCTGTCTAAAATCATTTCCTCAAAGTTGACCAGCAAAGTAATTCTCACTTCAACCTGTTATCTGTCGAGTCCCACAAGAAGGTGAATGATACAACTTCCCACACATATATACAACTGTTGCCATAGCACAGGAATGACTTCTGGTTCATGTATTTTTTCTACGCAGCTGTTTATGTCTAAAGAGTATGCAGAAAGCTGTGGTTTCTCCAGTGCAGAGGAAACAGTGAAGTCACTGTTGCAAAGAGTAAAGAAAGGGTGAGTACGTCTGGCCACTTCTGTTGGTGTTGTCAGTCAAGTGTTGTTTTTCCAACCTCATTCTATTTCTAGTCTGATCTGTCCTAGTCATTTTTACTGCTTTCATAAAGTCAATAATACAATGCTGAGCTTTATTCCAACACAAGGGTATTATTAGGGTCAAATTTTCAATGACCACTGTTGCCTTTATCAGGATTAGAAATGACCAATCAATATGCAGATGAAGGTGACAGTGGTCATTGAAACTTTGACCTTGTAATTGTGTACCCTTGTGTTGCCCTATGATTACCACCAACACAAAATAACTTTATACAGAGCTACTATATATATATGGAATGAACTGGATTATTAGTTTCACAATCTTGTAAGTATTATGAGTTCAAGGAATCCATCTTGAAGGGGGACATACTCCCTTTACCATGGAGGTAATGTCAACTTTACATCATTAGTCGAGTATAATATGTTCTTAGATTTACTGAAGCTACATGTACAATCTTATCTCAGACATCAGCAACAGTTTTTTTTCTATAAGGCCATGTTGATTTGATTATTTGGATGACATCCTCTGGGAACCCCAAAACTGATGTGAGCATGCGAATAAAAAAAAAAAATTGGCAAAAAACAGTTTCCTTCATTATGAAATCTACGTGGTCATAAAGGTTGAATAAATAACTAAACGCACAGAGTATGGTATGGCAAATAATAGTAGACTCTTCATTTTCATAAGCTGGTTATTGCATCTGTTCCTTCCTGGTAGGAGCACTGTGCTGTGTACCTGGGGTGACCAGGGTGCAGATGGCATCACTCCTGAGGGAACACACTACCATTGCAAGGCCTTCCCCCCAGAGAAAGTGGTGGATACCCTGGGTGCTGGGGACACGTTTAACGCTGCTGTAATCTCTGGCCTCTGTAGAAGCAGCAGTTTGGAGAAGGCACTCAGGCTGGGATGTAGAATAGCAGGACAGAAATGTGGACAGTTTGGATATAAAAATCTGCACAGCTGATGCATATTTAAAACTTCCAAATTCACTGGTGAGCTTACTAGATAAAGAGTGGAATGTGTAAGAAAGGGACATTTTTGATGGATGAAAATCTACCCTTTTTTATCTTCCATGAGGAGGTAGTGATTTTGTTGTTATTGGTCTATTGAAAGAATGACTATAAAATCATTAAGTATTTGATAAACAACCTATATAGTAAATGTGAAATAAAATGAACTTTTGTGTAGGCCGGAGTCCTGGTATAGTGATTAATATGTGTTTTGCGTGTTCCTATATATCGCTCACAGAAAATGAACTCATGCAAGTATCTGACAAAAAACTGGGAACATCGTATTTTATAATGGTACTCATTTATGCAGTTTCTTTTTTGCTACAGTAATATATCAATATGAGCATAGCTGCATCTTAGCAATTGATACAAAGGACGGGACAGGCAATGGCGTGCAGCCAAATGTGGTTGTCTGGGTAATGAAACGTTCCCTTGAAATAAAGATATACCATGTGCAACCAAAACTAATTGAATTTCAGAGTCAGGCTATCTACAAGCATGACAGTCAGGTTATCTGGGTTGTGTCAACAGTTATCTATTCCCACTGCGCACCCATTGGATCATCCGTATGAGTTATGCATGGGGGGGGGGGAGTCGCGCGATGGAGCCTGACTAGTCCCGATATATTTGACTAATGCCGGGAGAGCGTTTGGGTATCTTTTGGAATGCTCCTTCCTTAGTTGAGCCATAACCACTCCGAGACCAAGCCTCGCCTCCTTCCCTTATCGCCAGCCCCGTCGCGCTGCTCCGATGAGTGTGTAAGAATCCTCAGAAGAGGCAGGGGGTGCTAAGTCATGTACTTATACGGTATTGACAGGTGTACTCATTAGTTTGATCCAATCAGCGCGCAATAAAAACAGTTGAGGGTGACCTGTTGCCTAGCAACCCCCGCCACCAGCTTAGGAAAACCGGATCTGACTGGTTGTGTTGCCAGCGGCTCTATCAAGAAGTTCTCCACATGAAAAAGAATTGCAAACTTGTGTGCAATTTTGTCAGAAATGTAGCTGTCAACTAATGTTTCAAATGAAAGCAATGTGAACTTCATGACCGTCCGGCCAATCAACAAATGGTCCTCCGTATGAAAGGGTAGTAGGGTTTTTTTCTGTGTAAGAGTAATGATTTACAAGAACCATGTCGCTTCTCATAACCTGACATGAGGGTTATTTCAGATCCATTTCACGGAAGGCTAAATTGGTGCCGGTTAATGCTCGGTACTTTGGAATGGCAACGGGGCTATTCATACATGACATTGTATCCACGGTTCCGCCGTATGGGTGCATATTTCGGCAGTTACTATGAGGTCGCAACGTATTAGTTACTCTTCACCGTGATGTATCTCGGCAACAAAGACATGCCGCGACTAGCAATTATTGTAAAGTAGCTGCTGAAGATAAGTTAAGTTGTACAGAATGTTTGAACAACAACAACTTGTGGATCATTCTTTTACTTTATAGATTCTGAAGTAAAGCGATACTGTTGAGAGTGAGGATATTGTTTCCAACACAACGCCTTTTGAGGAACGCAGGGGTTCCATAACATGAGCAGCTGACTACGTCTCGTCACATTATACGAGATTATTGTGACAAGCTGGTAAAATAACTAGTTCAGAATCCGTCACTAGTCTTTAGTTGAGAGAGACAGCAGCGGCCATGGCGGTGAGCGGTGACACCCCGTACCAGCAGCAGCTCCACAATTACGACTGCTCCTTCGCGGCCGGCAGGGCCAGGAGGAAGCACTTTAAGGAGGAGGTGTTCTGTATCTTCTCCCCGGTGTACCCGACCGGCTCGACGGGCCAGCCCGCCAGCGCCTTCAACAGCGGCTCCTACAGCGTCCGGCTCCGGCTCAACCGGCAACCATCGCTCAGGCAGAGGTGAATGTTTATAACATTAGGAAGTATGGGACGCCTTGTATTATATAATAGTTGTTGTTGCTTTTCTGCATCTACTGTCGTATTCAAGATTTGGACCGACGTCTTTAAAAGACACGAACCGTCATCACACTTTGACAATAAAGCCAAGTAAAGAAGATTTCCTCAATTACATGTTACGCGTACGGAACTGATGACGGAATCAATAAAGATCAATAAACGCAAATGTATGGATAAGGATATTCCATAAATATTATATGGTTCATACATCTGTATAAAGTTGCTTTGAGTCTCTTAAGACTTGATACAAAAGTTGAGGCTGGAATAGATTTCTATGATCATGGTTACATTCATTGGCTCATCCTGCCATGTTTTGTCACACGTGTTAACACTGCTTGATCGTACTGTGTGATACCTAAGATGGCATATCGTTAGATCAGCAGCCAATAAATTTGGAACAGTCTGTTATAAGGTGGACATCATGTTCTGTAATCTCAAGCTGTGATAACTTCTAAATTGACAGTGAACACGACTAGAAGGGCATATGAAATCATGTTAGTGCCATCAAAATTGCCGACATAATCGGCATTCCCCTGTGACATAATGTACATTCCGGTAGCGTTCCGTGGTCTATTGGTTTGTACTCCTACTTTTAGATCATGAAAAGATCGTGGATACGTCCCGATCATTGGACATCTGAGCTCCAACGTGTAAGGTATAAAACCATCTCATAAACACAAAGATGCAAAGAATACGCAACGCTGAAGTTGACCAGGGAAGCTTGCCACGCTAGGCGATAGAATCGTTTAGAGGTCGCTGCTACTTGTTACATGTAGAGACTGAAATAGTTGATTTTTCATGTGAGCAGCCACGTGTACTATTTATTGCTTATGAATAATGGCTGTCCTGATTTTTAGCATAATAATCATCTCACATGGATTAGGTCCTTCATAGGGTTGTGTGCACATATCATAAAGAAATCCCTTCTGATTTGCTTTTTCGTAGAAATGAAATGATTATTCATCACTGTTGTTTGATATGTTATATACTGTTCTTCTCACACTCAGGAAAACTCCGCTATTCCTGTACAACTACACCCAGCCTGGGTCCGGGTTCACTGTCCGCTAGTGCCACGATGTACTCCGATGAACTCCCGGGAGGAGACGACAGTGACACCGACTTGAACCGAGCTTGATGAAGCACAGCTATAGTGTGTACCGTGTGTACATCCAGAGTAAACCACAGCGTCTGTGACTTCAATTTAAAATAAATAACTCTGGCATCACACATCGATATCATAGCAGTTACTGATCATGACATTGGTCAGTGTCTGTTTATTTCTTACATAAAGTTCTGCTTTTGTTTCTAATGTGAACTATCATTTCAATGATTGGCGTAGGATCCCATACCCTTTTGTAATTAGATTTCCGTATTCCGTATCACTGTCGTGTATTAGAGCAGTTCTCCATATGTATGTCTACCTAACCATCTCCCATTACTTGATTTGTTTTTCACAACTGTGTGTTTGCTTTCGCACCTGTTATTACATAGCGAACATTAGGCCTGGTGCAAGATTAATGGAGTGAAATTACTGCAATTCTGTTCAGCTCGAATATCAGTGTCTATCGCCTTCTGGTTTTATTTATAGCTGCCCCTGTGCCAAAATAGACAACTTGATTTTTTTTATCCCTGTCGAAGCATTAGGTACGTTATACCCTAGTGACTTAATTATAAGTTCCATACTGTGTCTAATAGTATCAAACCCGTTACAGAGAATGTCATTCTAGGCCAGACGAAAAGTGTCATCGGTTGATTGTATGAAGATGAGATGGAGAGAAAGTTTGAAGACAGCGATGATGAAAATACATATGGACATATTAAACTTGTCGTGGCAAGACTGAGATGAAAAGTAATATTGATCAGCATAAAAACAAACGGCCATTGGTTGCAGACGTGCGTGCTGATTGATTGGAAAATTTAGGCACAGGAAGTTACACGTGTAAACGTAAATAAAACATCTGTAAAATGTGTTTTACTCTTTGTCTTCTCTGGCGGTCACATGCACAGCGCGAGTGTTGGTAGTATTTTGAGATGGTTGAACATGCAAACTTTGTCTTACATGTTGCTTTTGACGTATGAAAAGCATAATTACATGTATTTACAATTCAAAAATTATTATATGTTGCAGAGGATCTTGGCTCCTCACGCCAGTCATATTTCTGTCATGTTCATTCCTTACAACGTCTCCATTTCCAACAGGCTGCACTGGCCATGGTGTCCCTGCTGTGACTACCCTCACAAGTGGCTACACGCTAAGTAACAGCTTATGGCACAGCTATTCGGGTGTATTTGCGCGTGAAATGATGACGGTGATTTGGTAGGGTGTAGATGCCCGGCGGCATGGCCAGGTCGTTTAATAACTGCCAGGCCGACCAACCCATTGTCGTCACGGCACATGTAATTGTACGAAGATTATTCTGGGGACTAGTGACCTTTCTGAATTCGCAAGTTGTGTTGTTGCTAAATACGCCCGCTTTCCATAGTTTCTTAGGAGATTCGCTGACATCGTACCGTGAACTGTCCCCAATAAGGAACATCGAAAGATACTTCTTCCAGCAATACTTCTACAGGGGACGCGTTGTCCTGGATCTGAGACTAGTACTCGCACACGTTAGTGTACAGTTCGTGGTTTCGTCCCTCAACAAGTAAGTCCGTGCTACATGTACGCCTACTCCGTTTTGGAAATCCATGGGATTACGCCTGCCGCCTTTCGTGTAGTTTCTGCACAATGTCACCGACACTACGGCCTGTTCTAGGACTGCCAGAGCCCGACATGTGATTTTGCATGACTTGCCTCTGAGTTGTACCGACTGTGCTCACACGTAGACGGGCGCGTCGTGGGAGTTCTCGGTGTTTCACCACAGGGGACATGCACGTGGGCCGTTTGGAAGAAGTTAAGCCATGAAGTACTTGCTTGATATTGTAGTTTAGTTTTCAGATGTCGTGACAACATACTATTAGGCTTATAGAAGTCATTTGGGCATCGTGCCATCGCCACAGGAGGTCTTTGAAGACGTACAGCTCACCACCGATAAAAGATAGGCATTGCTATACAGCTGCATTCCGAATGATCGTTTGGACGCACATCCTGGTTGCACAACGTCCTGATAACACACAGTCAATGCAGCTGGTTACAAACCTTATAGGACAAGCAGCCAGCTACAACAAAACTCTTGTGCTAGTAAAGACGTGAAAAAGAGTTGTTAAAACTCTCAAAATGTGCATAAATTATGCTCAAATGAAAAATCAAAGAACTATGGCATGGACACTGGTGCTGGGAATGTTGTTGCTGCTGAGATTTCCTTCGCTGACGGATGGCACAAGCTTAGGTAAGCACGTTATTCTTTGGTTCTGGTGCTTCAATTACGTTACAACTGTCGTAAGAGAAAGGTATGGCATGGTACAAGTAAGAAATCCAAGTACAAATTTCTCACATTAGCAGACAAGATAGTAACCTAACTTTTAACCTGTCGTCCCAAACCCTTGACAAAATCTTGGAAGTCTTGGAAAAAAGAGATAGCTACATATCAAGGAACCGTTGTTAATTCTAGTAGGAATTCTAGTAAACAAACAGTCACGTTATTTGTAAACAGCATTTTGTATTGACAGCTAACATTCTTGTTTACTGTTTATGGTACTTGTTGTCATTTTAGACATGATCGGAGACACTCTGATCTGATCTGACCTACAACGTTACTTTTTGATAAATGTATATTTGATTTTCTATAATAGTCAGTACCTACCACTGTTCAGGCGCTTATAAGTATATACACAGTCTAGTCTTATATACCATGTTGTGTAGAAACCCTATTCGGGCAAGGAAAATAATCACAGACTAAGTATGACACAAGACGTGAAGATTTGTCACTGTAGCCAAGACAAGCCGAATGACCTTGGTACGTTGTACACGCACAACGCGTTTTTTTCCAGTGAAAGTTTTGTTCGATGGAGATGGAAAAAGCCGTGATCTTCAGTAGTTAAAACCACCCAAATTAAAAAAAGCTAGGCAAGTAAATTCTACAAATGTGACCCCACAGACGTAAGAACGTTAAGGAGATCGATATGGCCTGAGGACAGTCAGATGACCTCAGATGTGTTTTTGTAATGGTCACAACACTTTAAGGTCTCTCAAAATTAGACAGACAAATTAGAGCATGTCAAGAAACCTGATAAATATCAACATGAAACCGCTGAACATTGACATGACGTTTACATTTATCATTCTAAAAGGTTGTAGCGCCCTTGGAGTGTGGGAGAACATGTCGGGTAGCTGGGAGGGTTTGTTCCTGTGGCGTGGCGCTAGCTGAGACATGGTCTTTCTTTTCAGAAAAACAAGTCAGCTATGCACCTTCTCATCTCCCCTTAAGCCAATGTGTAATTATGTGGATGTAATGTTAGCTGAGGGATATGGACTTTTATCGTTTCTTGTCAACTTTCCTTCGATAAGCAGTTCATTAGGTTTACTCCATGTACTTTACTACGACAATTTCTTGCTTAAAATTTCCATTGTAATCTCAACAATTTTAAACCAAGAATGTCTATTTTATTTGTACCAAAACTAAAGAGCACCTTCCTAAATTGTTATCTTTTAAAATCATTGCTCAAGTTTGATACACGTTTGATACAAAATTAGACATTTTTCTCTAAATGTGTGAATATGCTACTCGTACCAACCGTGAGCGTATCCATTTGTGCAGGGACCCATCGTAAACTGAAGGACCTGTTAAATGAAGCTGCGAACACACTTTAGGTCTACTGATCACCGATGTAAACAGGTTTTCAGTCGATAAATCAGAGTGACAGATATGAGCTTGATGGATGAGTCTGTCAGCGACCGTCCCGCCAACATTGTTACGTGCTAATTATGGCGGCAGATGAAACAGGCAAATGGCAACATTTTGTGTGCGGTCCGCCGTGCACGATGTCTGCATGCCTGGTTACACTTACAAAGTATTTAAGCTCATATTCCAAACGGCTACATCGCTACATTTCCACGACAATCTTTGTATAGACACCTCAACTTCAGTATAATACAATGGCAATAGACGCAGAAATATTTTCCTATTCTCGCTCTGAAGTGAAGTGTGTGGAATGAGAGGAATGTACACAAGATGTCTGACATTTCGGCACGTTTCTCACATGACTACACATGATGAGACTGTACTGTCCAGTTACCCGGGCACGGTCATACTTGCTGATCATTCCGGTGGAAAATTGGACTCAAACACCAAAGCATGTCAGTTTACAAGCACTGTTTACCGTCGCCGGCAGTCACCAGTTGCGATACACAGGGTTAATGTTGGAGTGGCAAGACGCTGGTTATCCACAGTGGTCCACTATTCAGTTAACTCATTACAGGAAAAAATGCACTGTTCTCTCACCATGTTACGATCCAATAAACTTTGTAAATGGGTTAACGACTTTCCTTCCGCTTGGAGAGACACAGTTGTTATGTCTGTCATTAACGACAACTAATTGTCATAGTAAGTACTAGATAAACCATGTTGATATGTGGATCTTTCTGAAACAACACACGTACACCTCCAGTTGGTCGGTATCGGAATTAACAGTATATGTACTAGGTACTTCTTTTTGAAACGTACTAGGTACTTGTTATACCGTAAGATGCTGTGCTTGTTCTTCATACAATTGACTTTTGAATACAGCAAAACCGCTAACAAATATATAACTTCACAGAATGCACTACCGAGACAGCTGACAACATTTGCGAGGTGTCTAAGGAACTCTTCAGAAAATTTTCTAATGACTTAGACTGGGAGATGCGCATCCTTAAAGACGCAGAGACAGACAAGATACTCCTGGAGAGGCTCACAGAGACTTACCGGAACGTGTCGGTAAGGGACGAAACACGACTTCCTGATTGGTCATCACAGAACATCACTTAGCAACATGTTAACAGCGAACCAATATTATTTTATTATTATCACTTTAATCTCCCTGGTATCATGAATCCGATATACTGTACGCGAAGTTGGAAACTTTTCCTAACTTAGCAAAATATTATGATGAATGCGAAAACTAAAAATGCGTCAGGTTTACTCCTCGTGCTTGGCTGACTATGCTACCTACACTAGTAAGTTTGTGTGGGCTGAGATACATTACTTTTCTTAACATCACACAAAGCTTCAAAGCTAATCAATTGATGCATTTTGTGTTTTTTGTTTTGTTTTCTGATCTCTAGGAGGAAGTTCAAATGTGGGCAGCCAGGATGACCAAGGACACAAGAAAAGCGATAATGGACTCAATGCCGATAGATTTCTTGGTAAGAAAGTGTATTTCGTGGCTAATACACAGCACTTGAATATCTTTACAATCTTATTTTGAATTCATAAAACTCTTCGAATTAGGTTTAACTTAGGCTTTTTGGAGAAAATTAGATCTTTACACAATATTGGTTCTATTGCTTCTCCGCGTTTTTTTTCATCCAGGTTTTGATTGAGTTTTTACATGTTGTTTGTAGGCGGAGAAGATTGCAGTGTATAGCATTTCTACCAAGAACAGCGCCGCCATGATGGAGAAGCGGTCGGGCTCGGTACTGCAGCGAGGCCAGAGGCTGAAGGACAGGAGAGGTAATTTTTCATGTAAACAGAATGACAAGCTACATGAAAATACGACAATGTGGTATGTAAAGTGACACCTGCGGTATAGACTAAGATGGGACAATTTCGACACTAGGGGATGTAAAGTTGAAGCCCTCTCCTTTTTTTGCCATTCCTCTGCAGACCGTTTGGTTGCTGACCTGGAGGAACACCTGTATGATACCAGAAGAACGCTCCGTCAATCCCGCCAGGAGTTATACGCAATGCAGGCCGGGAAGGTCGCCAACTTCAACCCCATTCTAAGAAGGGCGTACTCGGAAAAGGTGGCAGCTGAGAAAAGTACGTTGCGCTTAAAGATATATCACAAAACATATGTATTTGGCTAATACTGCAATATTACGCATTTGATCGATAATCCCGTACACGTATTATGCACATTTTAGGCATAGTGGTTCTTTTTATCTAATGTTTAAAGGGCGTCATTCATTCATGCACAAGCTATTTGTCTATACCAACTTACTTATCGTTTTCCCACAGTACAAGATGATTCTAAAAGCTGGGTCATCACCAGAATAAGGAACAGACAGTTAGAATTTACAAAGAGCCTGGATGACCTGGCACAACAGGTAGATAGAGCGGATGAAAAGGTACGTTTAGTATTATTAATTGTCATTAGGGTGATATGATTGGCTAGTATAGGCTATTCTAAGATTAGGCTTTTTGACCCGGCTTCGAACCCGAGCTTGTACACTTTCTTTCTTCACTGATTTCTTGACGATACTGCCGTACATTTGTAGTTGACATGTCGTTTTCTATACCTCCTATGCGTTTTGCCCCTCAAAAAAGGTATGATATGCTCAGATATGGCATCTACCGGTCAGGGAGACGGCATCGACGGTTTGAAATGGCAAACGAGTTTAGGAGACGGAAATCCTGGATCTAACATTCAATTTGTTAAATGACACAGACGTTTAGAATGACTTACACTGTCGTTCTGTGACATACATCTGTTTAGGTGAGAATAGCGGAGCAGCTGAACGCAGCTAACGCCGACCGGCCACGTAGGGACCTGATGAACACGGTACACGCGGAGGGGAACAGTCTCATCGCTGCAGTCAGCGCCGCCCAGCGGGTCAGAGAAGACGTGCAGAAGGCCCTGGGCGACGCAAAGGCGTTAAAGGTACTTCAATGTACCATCAATCACCTGATTATGAAAATGATGACCAGTAAAAAGTGTTCTAGTCAATCTACTTCTACGCGATGATCAGAGACTACTGGATGAGAGATGGGTATAAGAACCTATCTTTGTATTTATAGAACATCTTAAAGAACAACTCCAGACAGACTGTGGCCACCATCGCTATGTACGAGCGTATGGAGGAAGTGGGGGACTTGTCGGTCTTGGAGAACCAGACAGAAGCGGCAAAACAGCACGCCGAGTACCTGATGAACAAAACCAAAGACATAGAGTGGTAGGCGAACTGATTCAACTCGATATACTATTCTGGAAATCAATGAAAACTGTAATCAACTTGTGTTAAAGTGTGGTATCAACTTTTTAATAGTAATGATCACAAAGGTTGTAATGTGAACTGATGATCGATATAGAACAACTTCAGTCCATTGGGGCAACAAAGGTTCTAAATGTCAAAAATAACTGGAGATTGATTTTGGCACCATATATGACGTATCAATGACGTATCCCTCTCTAACCACTCTAGGCTGAGATCAAGTGGAGGAATTGTATCCCAGAAGGCATTGCAGGCCCTGATGACGTATCGGAACGTTGCGGACATGATAAGGGAGGCGGACAAGTTCTCAGCAGCAGCCCTCACGGTCAGTCAGAGATATGTCACGGCTAGCATTTATCATAGAGTGGAGCTCGTTGCCACCAAGTACATTAGGGGTATCCTAATTAGACATGCATTTCTATAGCTATGATTTAGACAACACTAATACAGCTATCCGTATCTGTATCAGTATAGCCGGTATAACCGCCCTTCGGCGTAACACACCAGCTTCGCAGGCACGCGGCGCGGCGGCAGATGGCTACATTACACCGAACGACTTTACACCTAACCCTTGAACATCCAAGCTATAGAAAGGCTGATATATATACCTTTTGTAGCTAGGTTTCCCCTTGAATAGTATGATATCAAAAGCAATTGTGATAAGATTGATGTCATCCATGAAAATGAAGCCAGCAATAAACGTTTCTTTTGTCCCCTTGATTTTCAGTTCGAGAATATCTCTGATATCACATTACGCAACCCAAAGCGAAGAAGTCACGTCTGGAAGAACCATGCCCTCGGCCGGAAGTCCGCAGTTGACCACGGTAGAAACCTTTTCTACATTTTGATGCATAGCATTATTACATAGAAACAGAGACAGGGTAGCTACTGTTTTGTTTTCAAATCAATAGTACGTGCAACTCTTACAATAGCTTGTCATGCGAAGACAGCACTAGCAATTTATGTTTTCCTTTACTCGCAAAGTCGTATCGGTGATCACCCACAAGACTTTTTAAAAGAAGACACAAGCTCATTATCCAAACGTAAAATCTGATGTCTTCTAGGACTGAAGCCCCGTGTAGACGCCTTGATGGAGAGGACTGCGTCTATGACATGGAAGCTGCACAGCGGCAGGGACCAACTGAAAAACATGGAGGCAGCTCTCAACCGGTGCAGAAGTACGAATCACATCTGGCAATTCTGGCTTAAAAATTTGTTCTGGTATAAAGTCAAACGCACTGTTAACGTTATTGAAAGGCTGGTAACGTTAACCAAAACAAAACAAAGCTTACGTACTTAATAAGCTCCGGTGATAGTCTATACTCAAATAGGTAGACGCTTTTAGTGCCTCAGGATAATGTACATGTAAATTTTCCTTCAAAATGATATTCGGTGCACACACAGGCCCGGACCCACCCATCTACCGGAAAAAGAAGATAAACAGGAGCAAGAGGAAAGTCGCTCGGGCGAACGCTGCAATCGAAGACATCATTTCAGGAAAATACTTGGTTGACGCTGGACTGTCAGAGCATGCTAGAAGTGGTAATGATTATGTTTTGTTTTACATTCCGCGCCATTTCTTTAACAATTGAAACTCTTTAGTCATACATAGAATCGTCATTGTTATCCCTTAGCCCACCAATTGAAGCAACTTTGCAATATACAAAATTACTTCTTTGCCTTGCTAGTTAGTGACTTGGAGGAGGCACTGCGATGGTCTGAGCGACATTCTATCAAGGAGGATCTTGCTGACATTAAGAGCAAATGTGAGATCTACATTAACTTTATTTTGTTATTCGTGATCTGCAAATCTGTAGAGATATATCATGTATCATGTACAGAAACTATTTATCACACTATAACACTAGCACTGCACGAAATATGGGATTTACAAAATTTACGTGGGGTATGTAAATGTTTGGTAAATGTGACATATGATATTTACCCACAAATACCATATATTTACCCGGCAGATACATGTATGTGTAAATATCAGGTAAATACATGGTAAATGTATATTATGTGTAAATATTAGGTAAATACATATCATGGTAAATGTATATACCACTCTGACGAGATAAAAGTAAATATTCATGTCAATCTTACTTTTAAGACCTTAACAGGGGCTTTTTGTCCAAGATATGTAATGTAATAAGCCTTAAAGACAGACAAACCCAGGATGAAAGCCCCGGATAAGCTCTTATCCGGGGCTCCCCTAACCCTAACCCTAACCCTAACCCTAACCCTAACCCTAACCCTAACCCTAACCCTAACCCTATAGCTACCTACTGCATTAGAAGAGGTCTGAGGTTTCATCCCTCCATCAAATATGTGGAAAGTTTTTAAATTTTATTGTTTTGATTTGTACCATCAATTATGAAAAATGTCGTTCACCACTGTGCAAAGTGGTAGTTTATGGGGATTTTTGACGTACTTAAATCTATTCTACTAATCCTCTAATTCTCTGTTACAGTAAGCAACATGCATTCAAGCATCGCAGAAGCGAAGGAGATCAAGGAGGATCTACAGGTGCACTTCGCCTACACTAGCTCTGTTGTGGACAAGGACAGAGTCACCGAGAGCATCAAGGCCATCCAGGACATGATTAGGAAGGCTCGGTACAAGGCTGCGCAGGTACTGACATTGGCAGCCCACCTCTGCGCTATATAAACAACTTTGAAGTTCCTAAATGTGATTATAAAAACATAGAGCAACTGAACAAATGGGGTTACAATTAACCAAGTAAACTAACCAACTAAACCAAGACAACTACAGAAGTAGACAGATACATATAGGAAAAATGGCTCCCTTTAAAATATCAATTGTTTGCCACAGGTAAACATTCAAATTGAACACAAACACTCACTTACTCCGATGCTTTTCCAGCTTTCCCCTCCGATATGCAATAAGACGTTCTGTCATTTCAAAAGTAGTTACCTTTTTTTCGCTTTTGCAGATCTCCATCCCGATGAACTTCGGGCGGACCAGCGTTGCCAGTCCGCACGGTACGGCGGTCAGGTTGGAGCAGCCGGAAGTCCTTGAGAACCTGTCCAACCATAAGAACTACTTCACTCTGTCACTGGACGTCAAACCCGGGGACCGGGATGGGACAATGTTGTTCATTGGAGATCCCAAGAATGTCAGTATTAAGATTTGGTTCATAAAACATTTTGTAATTGGTGTAGAAGTTGTGTAATTCAGGTTTAATTACTGGATGATTTCGACGACAGATTTCCAACATGTAAGACAACCATCAACATCTTTACTTGGCATAATACATGTTGTACACTTAAAATGTATCGAAGGTCACACTGTTTGTCTCATGGATTCACCCACAGGCCACAGGGGATTACTTTGGGCTGGAGTTGGTAGCCGGGAAGGTGCGTGCGTCCTTTGACCTGAGCGGCGGGTCTGGCCGCTTCTTCGTGTCCGCCTACCGTACCAACCTGGCACTGCACAGCTGGTGCAACATCAAGGTCGAAAGGTTGAGTACGAGTTCTACAAGTGTATGCTTTGGAATTAGATTTTTATTTAAAATCTAAGTAACATTACATGCATGTATGTATCACTATCAATGAACGTAACTTGTGTTGAGAAGAAGACACAGACTGAGAGTTAATCCTGCTTTTTTTAGAGTTGGTAATTTTGCCAAGGTCAGGGTAGAGTCCGACTCCACAAACCTGGAGACTTCCGGAACTGACGGGTCCAACTACATCCTGTTTGACCTCCCGGAGGATGCTGGGATATGGGTCGGAGGCGTGCCAGAGGGCTCAAACGTACGTTACTGTTAGAACTGTTAGATCTTCATCTCTGCGTGAAAGAAAATGTGTAAACGTTTGTGTTAGTGAATCTCTTGCTTGATTATATGACATTATGAATATGCACTGTTCTTTCACAACTTCTGTCTTCTTTCCCAACAAACTCCAACAGAAGCAGACACCCGGCCCAGGTGTCACCATTTATCTACTACTACTAGTAACTTCTTCTATATTTGATCCAGCTTCCTGAAAATATGGCTTTGGGTGGAAAAAGCTTCACCGGAAATATTGACAACCTGAAGATTGGAGAGATTCCCATCAGCCTCTGGAACTTCCGGGATAACTACAAGTTGATGTCTCCTACTATCAAGCCCGACAGGAAAATGTAAGACTTTCATTTCTTTTTGACGTAACAGATCAGAAGAGAGAGAAGTTCATATTGAAAGTTTATATTCTATGTAGGTCACAAAACAAAACAAAACAACACAAGTCTATTGTCACCAGAACCAACACAAGTCTAATGTCACGGGAGCATAAACAATTCATAATTCACTTTGATATCTGCCAGATGTTAACAAAGTATTTTCTGATTGACAGGAAAGCCTCTAAGTCCTACCGGAGTGTTTATCTTGACGGCAGCTCCTTCAGCTACACCAACCCCGACGTGACGTCTTCTGTCGACATCTTCAAACAGGAGAACATCGTGCAGATGATGATCAGGCCTGTCAGCGAGGAAGGGCTTCTCTTCTTCCTGGGAGACAAGGTGAACGAATGAATGAAGGATACTACATGTATATATAAAGATTAATAAGTGCATCTCGCATGCGCAGTAACAGTGTTTTGGCCTTTCTGGTGACAAGCTGAATGAATGAAATTGCGTATGTATAGATGAATGTAGAATACTATGAGAGATAAAAATCAATCATGGAATAAGTACCATTATGAAAGCGCCATCAGTCAGCCGATGTAACATTTAACGATCTACCAAACAGCCCAACACGTATGATGGAGAAGATGTAAAAGATGACATGTTTTTGTTTCCGTCTGTGTCCAGTCATACTACATCTCTCTGGAGCTGCTCGCCAACAGACTTGTGGCCAAGACGAAGTTGGGCAGCGGCGACCCTCCCGCAGTGGTGCAGTCTGATAACACCGTCACAGACATGCGCAATCAGCTGTCCATAGGGTTCATACAGGTAAAGTAACCAGTAACAGCTGTCTAGTGAAGGTGGTCAATTATCTAGACAGAGCGGAGATATGTTATCTGACAGATGGTCAGCACTATGTTTTTCGTTTTTTGTAAATTCCTGTATCAAGCGTGCCTAGCCTGCGAAGCCGGTGTGTTAGGGCGGATATACCGGCTATACGGATACAGATACAGAAACGATCCTTTAACATGTATCTGTATCTGTACGTATATCAGTATAGCCGGTAAAACAGTCCTTCGGCGTAACACGCCAGCTTCACACCACACTATCAAAATGGTCCCGCGAGGTGCTACAAGTCAAACAGGACGTCGCTGGTGCCGTTTCAGATCACCGTGTTGACCAACACCGCCACGCCCCAGTGTGGCGGACTCGTCTCTCAGCGGTTTCTGGCTCTCATCACGAACCAGGATGTGAAGTGTGTGGAGATGGAACTGCCGCCTAGCGAAGAAGCCTCGCAGGAAATCGGCAGCCAGGCGTACATCGGAGGTCTCCCACCGTCATTACGGCCTGATGAGTAAGACAGTATAATTCTTTCGGTGTATGGTTGTTATGGAAGGTAACTACTTCATGTGTGACATCCGACGTATTGGTCATGATGATCTTGTAAATGAGTGGATGTTGTGTGTGAATATGTGGTTAAAATGTTCTTGACTTCGATATATGATAATTTAATTCTACTCAGTAGTTAATCAACACGCGAGGAGTGGTTGTCAAGTTCAAATTGAAGCTCGGAAAGGTTTTAATTTAGCCCAATTTCCAATCTAAATTTCAAAGCCTTTCGCTGCTTGCTACATTTGCATTGCCTTCTTAAAAACAATGACAACCGATTGCATTGTTTTATTTCTAGGATATCATCCAAGGTATACGAAGGATGTGTGATGAACCTGCACATACAGCGGATGTACAGGCAGATAGAAATCTTCAACGGTGGCATCATAGGTGGCTGTCCGTCCTTGGTGAGTTCATCTTCTTTGTCCTGTTGATGGTGCGACTGAGGATCTTGGCTTGCGTCATGTCTTACGCTGTTTGCTTTGGTCCAGTTAGAATAGAGGTAAGATTATGTAAAACACGATTAATAAAATTCTGTAAAACACGAAGAATAAAATTCTGATAGTAAACTCATGACACGTTTGAACCGTTCGTCAATGAAAAGTCACCTTCTGGCGCCGTCAGCTGGAAGAATTCCATAAATCCTGTTCCATGTTTGCTTTAGGTCCAGGAGCTTCATTTCATCAACCCGGACACGAACTACCTGCAGATGGCCTGGGTGAGCGGGCGGTCCGTATACCGCAACTTTGACGCCACCTTCGCGTTCCGGACAGAGGCGGACAGCGGTCTGATGGTGTACGTGAATGGGGAGACGGAGAAAAATGTGCGTCTTACTTATTACTTACTTTCTCTCTCTTTTCTCTTCAGCTTTTGGTAGCATTTGTAGCAGGAAAAGATCCGTCGTAGATGATTTACAGGAAGGAAGGAATGTAGTTTATAAATCGGTGCCTGACTTAATAACCAGGAGATACAATTACACATGTGCATGTCCACGCAAAGGACCGTACGTACACCATTACAGTGCATGACGTCCATCACAGAAAAAATAACAATTATGCATTGTATTTTTGAATCGATAGTTTTATTCGTATTCTGTGATGTTTATGATGTAAGATAAAGAATGTCCGCTCATGATTCACATAGTTGAACATTTCGTGTCACTGTTGTTTTCTCAGTCGTGGGCCGTGTCTATGACCAACGGAAGTGTCATATTTGCGATGTTCGGGGATCCATCAGGTGAAGCCACAAGGCTGGAGAGTCTCTCTCGTTATGACGATGGGCGGGAACACTATGTCAGGGTCTCCAAGGAAGGCACGAGGTACGGATCTCACTTGCAGTGGCATTTTGAAGAAAACGGCTGCACGTTTTACATAAATACAAAATGATCAAATCTACGTTTTGGCCCTTGACGACGGAAAATTGCAGTATTTGCAAAAAAACTTTCCAAAGAAGTGATCCATTGCGAAGTTCACTCTTCCGTAGCTAAATCTGCATTATATTTAGAGACGCCATTGAGATGGCGACATGAAAATGTTTCAATTGCCCGCATAAATGTGAGAATCGTTGTCAGAGCGGTTTGCGAAACGCTGTGTTTGATGATGTATAATGGTCTGATACCAGTGTACCAGCTGATTTGCTCCCCTTTCCAGATTGACTATGCAGATTGATGACAAAAGGGACATCCCTGCCACTGAAGTGGAGGATGCCCTGCTGCAGACCCCACAGCTTCTGCTAGGGGGCGTCGCTCCTGAAATGGCTCCCTTGACGACAGGTCCGACATGGCTCGTGGACAGTAACGACCGATTTGTCGGATGCATGAAGCATTTGCTTGTCTCATAGTAAGTTTTTTTCCATGAATCTAATGATAGCAGTAGCAGACGTTTTTTAGTCTTTTAACTTTAACTTTAATTTTTCTTATTCTTTGGTAGTGGTTCCTTTCTTCCATATCCATCAGTAATAGTGCATCTATTCAGATTACTGTATATTGATGTTGCACACGTATAAAATGATTGAAGTGCAGCATATATAGAGCTTCAGCGTACAAAACGGCAATAGAATCATATAGTCAATCTACTATTTTCAACTTTCAGTGACAATACAAGGGGAGAAGTCATAGATTTCGTGAACAAGAAGCAGCGTCAAGACGTCAATTTTGGATCTTGCTAAGGTAACTATGCAAGGTGAGAAAAACGACGTGATCCCTACCTGAAGACGAGACACCTAGCGGAGAAGCGCTATCCTTCAGCTGACCTTGGAAGTCACCCCTACTTTGGTTCCCGGACCTACGTATACTTTCATACTGTGTTGGCACATAGACCAAGGACATTATACAACATAGCACCAAGCAGTCTGGCTTATGTCCGACAACACGTGAAGCCGATGACTGATAAACTGTTTAGAATATGACCACATACGTGCTGATCATTAGCACAAAATACTTTCGCAATAGAATGCTGACCAGTCTAGCTCCGGATCCTGGCCATGAACCTCGTTAAATCATTCCAGCGTAACTAATATTCAACAGGACGTATGCACTCTCCTGCATCAAAATCTTTGCAAGATAGAATATTTTTGCTTACAATTTCAAGGACTAATTTCATGATGAGCTAGTTGATAATGTCCATAATCGGTGTCTAATTTATTGAATATAAGATAGTGGGAAGGCGAAGAGGACTAGGTATTTATTATAATTCACCTCCATTCCATGATGGAGTTATGATAATTATAAAATTATTATATAAGCTGGCCTCTTTTCGATGTAGACGAATAACTTCTCTTTCTCAGACTTTGAATCTAGTAAAGATGGTCCACATCTTTCATGTGTACAAAATTCACAGTTGCCACGTTTCACATGGAAGTACATCACTAGTATGTAATACGTATACCTGTTAAGAACTGAAGAGGATTAAGATAATAATTCCATTGATGACTTTAAAGGTCTACTATCAAGATGGTAAAATGTGTGTTTAACACATAATTGAAGTAGTGACATTCCATTGCTGGATTCTATCAGACACATGAATGGTTTTTGCCAGATGTTGTAGACAGTCAGTTATCATTAACCTGGTCTCGAAGCTCCTGTACGTGTGTGTAAGTCATATTGTAATTGTACATACATACTTACATACGCCGTCATGTAACCCCATTACGTACAGAGTAATGTGACTGGCCGGTGAATTCCTCATCTTTACAAACGTACGTCATCCGCAGCCACACGCTGAGATCGACACGCCGAAAATCTATCAGCGCAGCTTTACATTGACAAGTCGAGATTTATCGAGCGATGGCTGTACCAGCAATGTTCAACTGTCTGCAATAACTCATTCGTTTATGTCTTTTGAATTATACCCAACAGCGTTTCTCCTCTTTTCAGTAAACATTTCTTGACTTGACTCTGCCTCTTCTAGTAAACAGTATGTGATCATCCCCCCATTTCTCTACTTAAATGTTAATAACTTGTTGAAAGTCCTGTTCCCCGAATTAACAATGATGAATAGTATCGTGCCTCCACAAGGACAGGGTAACACAAATAGAAGTACGATTTTACCGTTGACCCATTTTAAAAGCACCTTAAAATGTCCACGCGTACTGCCCCGAGTATAGAATTATTTTCCTCGAAAGTACAGTTTCGAAGTAAATTACCATTTTCTTACATAGATGCAAAATTTAGATCATGCCTGGGTACGGCTGTCTGGGTATATGTGGTTTCAGATTGAACTTGAACCTGGCCCCCACATGTAGTGTACCAGACAGACATTGGTAACACGAGAGGGAAGTTATTATTGGAGGCATTCTAACAAGGCTGTGGCTAGAGTCGCACTACAGCAGGGGATTCTCACCATCGTACCCTCAGATCCGCCGTGACAACCTGCCAAGTGGTTTCGGGTCCGGGGTGAAGCCTCGGAAGGCATCAAACCCTGGGAAGTCGAGATTTAAGAGCCTCAGACAGACCAACCATCCGCCATGACTGTGACGCAAACCTCCGGTGGGGACGAGGTGATGGTAAAGAGGCCTTTTAACTACGACTGCAGCTTCGCAGCGGGGTTGGCCCGAAGGAAGTACTTCACCGAGCAGATCTATTACATCTTCTCGCCCGTGTGGTCTAAACGATCGCCCTGTCTGCCGCCGAGTGTGTTCAACCCCGGGAGCTGGAGCGTCCGGCTGAAGATCAACCGGCAAACCACACAACGACGACGGTAGGTCATGTAAACTACAGCCTCCTGCGAGCGGTTTACGTCAACATATAAGTTGACAGGAAATGTTAAAGTTTTAAAATTCATATTAAGACTACTTCTTGTATTATCTTTATTGCTTACTTTATGGCGAAATGATTGCAAAGGGGGCAACTTCGTTGTCTGAAATCCGATCATTTAAAACTGATAATGATAATGTTTCAGGCATTTCAAAGAAATGAAAATAAAAAGTAGTAAATAAATTTTCTTTGCATAATACAGATAGAATAATGCCCAAATTTAATGGTGTATACAGTAACTGTTGTGCGATGCCATTCCTACAGGAGAAGCCCATTGTTTCTGCGGCACTACACGCAGCCAGCCTCGGGGTACACTGTACGGTAAGCACCACTGGAGATCGTGACGCGAAGAGGCCGAGGATGATAAACAGAGGATCTACCGTACAAGTAACAAACAAGCGATGAAACATCAAGTGTCCTTTCACTATCGTTAGAACATTGCTACGCCACTGCAAACCTGGGGGTGGCTTCCAAGTTCGCGCGCACTGAAACAGTCAAGAATCTTATAACTAGCTTTTCCCTTTGTACAATAAGCTCACAACTTATGCAAGTTTATCTGAGATGACCCATTTATTCGCGAGACAAACTTGTCAATTTCAGTGGACGTTTTCACTGGTAGCTCCGATATGTCAATTTATGTTTGAGACAGAATGTTACTAGTACTTCAAAGTTACTTTGTGCTGTGCTCTGTGCTGTGCTCAAGGTCGACTCATGTCCTTTTAATAGAGATCAACCAAGGTATGTGCTGTCAACTTCTCCGCCTGATTGTAGTAGCTGACCTCAACAGATCCATTCTTCAAACTTTGATAAAAGAGGTAAAAATATATATTAAGATATATAAAACAACGTAATGTTCCTAATACCTGTTGCGCTTATGTATGTCCTTTTCAGTAAGTAACGTTTTAAGAAGCAAGAGCCTGTCTCCCCACCGGTTCCTCCACAGTGTTCCTCCGCCGTGAGAAACTCGGCATCTCTGCTCTGTAACATCGATCGGCAGAATTCAAACTAAAGCTGTAACTTCCAATAATGTGCAAAATACAACCCAAAGGCTATATATATATTACATAGCATTAATTATCAGTCTATAGAAACTATTTTAATTTATAATCAGCAATGGTAGTTTGAAAAACACTTGGAAATGACAATCCCCGAACCAATTCCATAGCGGCGGAGGAACAATATAATGACTTGTCTTCGATTCAACAGGTTCGAAAGTAAAACCCTTTGTGTGAGAGCAGTGAAGCTGGTCGAAGTTTAATTTTCGGACAAAATGAAAGAAAGTAACATGAAACAGGTCGTTGGTGGTGGGAACAATGACAAAGTATGTGATGCCGTGTGAATTCCGCAAGATAGGGATTTTGGTAATTTGCTTTGAAAAGCAATGGGGACGTCATAAGACTTGACGAAATACTAGTAATGGTTGAATAGGAAATTGCCGACAGTAAGGTGTACATGCAGGCTGGCAAAGAGTTTGTGGATTGAAAGAACTGTTAGGCTGTTAGGGGATTAATGTGTGAATACTATGGTGGTGGCAATGGGTCGGAGGCAGACGAAAAGCGGTGGGTTTGCTTTGGTACACAAGAAGGACGATGTTGCGTGGATCCCAGACTGTTGTTGGGAGGAGCAAGTTCCGAGGGCTGACTCAAATGTTATCAGACTTTAGAACGACGTGGGGATGTATCGCTGTACATTATGTAGTTTATATATTAGTTGACATCTGCATGTGTTGTACTGGTATGACCCATCAAATGATTGTAATATCACTTAAATTGCCATCAAAAAGAAATATAAACCTTCAAATACTGACGAAAAAGGCTTATGTCAATCATTGCTAAAAGTCAAGAAGAAAGCATGTTTGTGGTATATATATATTATATATATATTATGTGTGTGTGTGTGTGTGTGTTTGTGCATATGTCTTAGGGCAATCGCAGATATCAGTATGTTGTTATAATAATGATAATTTATTTATTATAGATTCTAATGGCTTTATGTACTAATTCATGATCTTTAATAATATGCAGTTGCGCCCATGTTTTGTGTGTTATTGAGTAGTTTGTGCTTGACACATTTAGAAATGGGACTTACCTGTAGCAAGTTTAATAACAATAACTGCTAAACTAAAAAAAACAAGGTAAAACATAACGTCACCAAAATCTTATTCCTCAGCCTTTATTGAACGTTGAGATAGACAAAGCATAGAGTGAGGCCATAGTCACCACTAAATACCCCCCTTATGACAGTTATTCTCAAGCAATATCCCCAAATCAGCAACCATGCGCATCTTCAGAATAAAAGCATTACTAGCAATGTGTAACACAGTGTAAAGGGTTTCTTGTATACATGTAAAACTCAAGAATTTTGCTTACAAGAAACCATGAGAAGTGACAGAATGAAATAAAATAAGCGTTTTATAACTCAAAAGCCCAACCAGTATATAATTATAAAACTTTACGAGGGTCAAGAACTTATCCTAGTACAAAGAAAAGATTAACTGGAGTTCCCCGATCTCATACGAGGGGTGATCAAAAAAGTTCTCGGCCTAACCTAGAAAACGTCATGGCATTAAAATTTTTCTTACACTATTTTTTAATATAGTCCTCTCTAACTGCAATGCAATTAGTCCAGTGATGTTCCAGCTTTATTTTCCCATTGTGGAAGAAGGTTGCATTTGGACCCCCCAGATTGGCCTATACCGCATAGATGACGTCATCTTTACCATTAAAACGTTGACTGCGTAAGTGGAAATTGAGTTTAGGAAACAGGTAGAAGTCCAAGGGTGCTAGGTCAGGTGTTTTGGAAGGGTGGGGTTAGACTGCAAACCCAAATTCGTTTGCTGCTGCCACTGACCCCTGTGCTGTGTGGACAGGTGCGTTGTTGGCAGGCCACCTCGGAGCTTTCCTCTCCTTTTCTCTTTGATCGTTGTCCTCAACTGTCGTAATTATGTTGAATAGTACTCCCCATTGATGCTTTAACCCCTTCCGCAGGTAGTCAATCATGATTACTTCCTTACTGTCCCAGAAAACAGAGGCAAAAACCCTGTCAACGGACGAAACTCGCTAAAACTTCTTGGGGGGCCGGGGAAAATTCTTCCTCAATTGTTTGCTCTGCTGTTTTTATTCGGGGTGAAAGTGGTGAACCCAGCTCATCTTGGGTTACAAATGTTTTGAGGAAATTGCATGCATTGGACTGAATTCGTTCCTTGAAATGTCCCGCCTGTTTAACTTCTGATGTTCAGAAAACATTCGAGGCACCCACCATGCAGACAGTTTGTTCATCCCCAGGATGTTCGGCAAAATATTGTGAACTGGGTCATAACACAGGCCAAAGAACCTGCTACAGGATGGACAGTCTCACATCTGTCTATTTACTACCATGTGATGGGTGGCCTCAACTGGATTGTCCATGGTGCTGATTTGTGGCATCCTGACCTATGTTCATCTTTTGTGCTCTCCTTGTCGCGCTTATAGCTAGCAACCCACTTCTTTATATTTTAATAACAAGGGTAGTCATCAACAAGTGTCTTGACCATGTCGTCATGGATTTCCTTAGGAGACATCCTTTTTATCGATACACTTGGTCACAGCACACGCTTCTGTTGCGGCCATTTTGTGATTTTGCCCTCACCCACCCCATTTTCACGGGGCGTCACGTGCTAATTAATGAATATAAAAATTTGAATTTTTGTGTGCAGTGATGTAAGACGTCATAGTATATACAGCTATATTAAAGAAGAGGAGTTTGACCTTTATTTTCTAGGTGAGGCCGAGAACTTTTTGATCACCCCTCGTACCTTCGCCAACTGATGTTCATCTTTATGGCTGACAAATTATAGATTATTCCCCCTGATTGTGCAAATAGGATCCTCATTTCCACGAATTATATCAGTTTATCATATTCTCAACCAAATGACAGTCTTATATGAACATACATACTTATCGAGAAGTGCTGGGTCATGACCATGAGAACAGTGCTTTGCTAAATTACTAGACAGTGAAGCTGCATTGTACTACATCATAGTACATGCACTTAGCTTACACATACATGTAAAGCGGCATATATGCATGTTTTAATCGGCATTGTACGTCCTCAGTCTAAGGTGTTCCGCTTTACCTTGACCTTTAATATGCGCATGTGTGAAAGATGCACTGTGCAAAATTTATACTCCACACCAAGATCACCAAAGAATGGCATTTATTGATAGCCAATATCCATACATTGTAGCAACCTAGTAGTCTAAGTAATAATTCCTTTTCGTATCTATGAATGGAAATTACGTTTAGTAAATTTGTTTTGTTAAATGTATTTTGAAATATGGTAAAGGTCAGAAACTTTCATTGTGTAATATATGAGATTTGTTTGAGCAATTAAATTACTGCAAGTGACTAATTGTCTTTAAGTTTTAGACAAAAGAAAAAAAATTGCTTGATCATCACAGATAAGTTGAGCTGTAGATGGAAGAGAAGTCTACTGACTATTGTTAACAAAAGACTAATGTTACATGTAATTAACATGCTAATTGTGACATAATTATGTGTGATCATATAACTTTGCTGTAACCTTTACTTTCTAAACAATTTTAGACAGTCACCCGGTCACCCTTACATACATGTTGACTACATTTGACTTACAGAGCAAAATTGGCCAATATGATATACTGTAATATACATGTAACAATAATTCAAAGAGATTTAAACACCAATTTAAAGATTCCAGACAAAAACGTTACATGTACATGTAGATGCTTTCATTGCAATTATCTGCAACATTAATTGAACCTATGGTAAAACTGCTCTACAGCATATTATATCTCATGATGTTTGTTAGTAGTTATTCTTTATCACACTAACTATATGACTACAAAAATAGCCAAGAAAAAAGCTGATAGTACTAGAGTTACAAGATATAACGTTTGAAATCATAGGAAATAAAACATTAAAACTCATTACAGAAACTCCTTCTTCCATTACACGTAAGGGTCATTATGCAGCTAGGCTGTAAGACTTGATTGTGTGTATGTCCTTTGTTTGTATATATTTGAGTCTGTATTATTTCAATGTGTATTGTTTTTATTGTGTTTGTCTGAAATAAAGAAAAAATTAAAGATGAAAGAAGCAAATTGGTTAAAACTGCAGTAAATAATTTGACCACCAAAAGGCATAATCTCGTCCTGTCTATTTTTAAGGCAGAATTACATATACAGTACCTAACACATGATGTGCCCTGCCAACATCTGCTTGGAGATTGATCCCTGCCTGTTTTAGCTAAGTTAGAAATGACTTTGAGATTTTTCAACTCAGTCTAGATGTACTGGATTAAGTATATCATCCTTTCAATACACATCTGAAATAATACATTGAAAAAGGTTCTCAAACTAATTAACAGATTGAAGTTAAGCATGATTTTCTATCATTTTGCCTTGTGACCCTTTATATTCCATTGGTATGTTATCATGGCTGCTGAGACTAGGTCAGTTAGAAGCACACGATGTCCCAGCAAAGTTCACGTTATTGCTGGATGTGGCATCGATGAAGTCCACAAGTCCATCTTCTTTAGCTCCACTACAGAACCAAAGCAAGAGTTGTAGTTGTTACTACCAAATCCTGTTACATACATTTGGCAGCTAGAGTAAGTACCAGTTGAGCTTAATTGGCATAAGAGCAGTTACTGTATGATTTACCCAACTTAGTAGCATGCTACACAAATGATAGTACATGTACTTAAAAAAATTTTTAGTGACCCTTCAATAGAGACAGGCTGTAATGCACCATTGGCTTCCTGATGCTTCCATGTACAACTGATATTTATATTGCTAAATGTGTTCCTAATATTAGATATTGGAATTACCCTCAACACAAGAGTGACAGTCCTATTGTAAGCTTTTTTGGAACAAAATCTCTCTATTTTTTACAAAGATAAGAGAAGTTCTCACTTTCTGAAGATGAGTTTCTTGATGCAGCCTTGGAAGTGCCCAGTGTTGTCGACCAGCTGTTGGGGGCCCGGTGTGACATTTGTGTTGGGGTCTGGTCCACCCAGGATGAGCTCACTGGTGGTAAAGGTTCCTCGGTTGAAGTTGTTGTTGGTGTTGATGTTGGGGGCAATGTTGTCGTCCAGCTGCAGGAACAGCCTGTGTGCGGAGCATGGGGTTTACAGGACATCACAAAAATGGTCTCAGCAGCAGAAACAGCGACAAACCCAAACTATGACCAGATGTCAGCCAACTCCCTTTAACATACTTGGGCCACATCCTATGAACAGTCCGCTTGCTCAAGACTGATTATATGTACCAAAGTTTGCACATAAACGTATTATTTAATATGCAAATGCCTTGGATAGCATTTTCATTTTCGCATGAACTTCAGTTACAAAATCAAAGACCTGCAAAACTCACATTTGGCCTACTCGTCGTACGAGGATGTAATGCTCGTTGTTGTCGTTATAAGTATTCTGGCTGGTCACACGGGATGCTCCCACATTGGCGTTGTCTCCAAAGGCAGCAAAAATAACCCTACCATTGCTCATGGAAATTGCCCACAACTATGTATTGTAGAAGAAAAAGAACAAACTAAGAAATTAATAAACAACATTTTTATCTTATGAATTGTAGTCTTATTGGCCATCACTACAGTGTCATACTTTAAGGCCACACCAATTTGATTGTTGGTTCTTGCATATTTTTAGAAAAAAATGAAGCAACAGGACAAAAGAAAATAAAAAATAAAAACAGAGCCAGGCATTCTGTGATAGGACTCATAGGAGCCTTGTTGTACTTACCACCCCTTGAGTGGTATGCTTTGCTAGCAGCATCACCCCATTGTCAGACTGTGTCTGGAAGGTGAAGGTGGCTTCAAACACATCGTAAGTCGTCCGACTTGTTGGCCATTTTTTGTTCACATAGCTGTCCACCCCAGAGAACTCCAGGCTTTGAACCTTGTAGGAAGTAAAAAAAAATACATATTTTACAGCTGTACACAGCACTTTGAAGTTGTCAAATGTACATGTATATGTATATTGACTGTATAACTTTTGTAGAATAAGCAACATTTGTTATAATTGACCAATATTTATGATGATGTTTATCTAATGAAATTATTCTCAAGAGATCGAAAACTGACAAAAAGAATTTCAAAAGCACTTTACAATGAATATGAAAAAATTATACTGTTTTAGTGTCTGGGAGAGACTAACAATGTATATAATAAGTTCTACACAACTGTTTTAGCGTATTGGAGAGACTTGCTTATTTTGTCACCACTGAGATTTACCCCATATGTTTGAGTACTGACATAACAGGACTAATGACTTTCATACTTTCACCATGTCAACCTGACTGTAAGGCTTGGGATGGATCAATAAATACATATTAGTATTATATTAAAGTGTGGTGGGTTCTTTTATGTGCTTGAGGTGTTGCTCTCCTAACTCTCTACAACTGGGACCTCCAGCTTTACATCTCATCTGAAAAGACATCTACAGCCAAACCAATTTGTATTTTCACCTTCCTGTCTTTGGAGTGAGGAAATTTGTGTAAAGTGCCTTTCCAAAGGGCATAACACTACTGGCACCTGCATGAGGGTTCAAACCCCAACTGTCAAGAATAACTGATCTAGATTCTGGGTTAACTTCAAGGCCATAATGCCACTAATTATAAGTTTGACACATCACATTATGACCAGGATATCCAATGAACAACATGATGTGTTCAGAACTTCATTGCAAGGTTAACAGTAGGACAGTGTGACATGTGATTGTATTTACCAGAACAGGGCACTGTGTTGTTGCAAGGCTGCCAACATGCACAATCTGCTTGTCCTGTACCAACACTTGGAGCTGCTTGATGCACCCTTTGTATCCCTCTTTCATCAGCCTACATGTAGGACAAAGGCAAGCAAAATATCAATAACAAAACTCATACTTCTCAAAATCTTGGGCTTACTTACTCACTGAGTATACATAACTACTGACAGTCTATTTTAAGTTTACAAATTGCCAGGATGCAATACACTATCATGAAAGTTCATCTGTGTTGGTATTAACCATTATAGTAAAATATTGAATTGGTGTACGTAGATCAAATTTTCAATGACCACTATCGTCTTGATCAGGATAATTAATGACCTGATGCAATATAATGTATAATAGACTTATATTTGATCCACACAGCCTTGCTATACAATAATACCTTCAGTTGTAACTCCACAATGGCCAAGCTAAACCACAATTACAACAAATTAAAAACTCATCAGTATGTACATGCTAAAGAAACATTTGGCTGCAGCTCTACTCCCCTCTCATGTGTAGTACATGTAAGAATATTCCAGATCACTGAAAAATTAAAAAAATAAGAGAAGTATCTGACTGTGTTTGATCATAACACGTACGTACATGTACCAGTGGAGACCATCTGGCAAATAGGTTAAATGGTCATAATGAAAGTACAAAATTTAATGTATTCAAAAAAATACATGTATGATCCAGCAAACTCACCTGCTATCAAGGTTAGCCTTCTTTGTTTCATCAAGTCCCCCAACGTCAGCCATCATGTTCAACTTCTTGGGTACTGAAGAAATCTTTCCAATTTGAAGACATTCCGGTTTCCTTTGTATCATAAAAATCACACCTCCTGGGCATGGGTTGGCATTGAAGTTGATGATCAATGCCACCTGCAAAAGTGGAAAACAAAAAACCTTAATAAGTTAAAAACACAGTCATACCAAGGCCCCTGGTCATACTTACTTGCTGCCAGGTTAATGCAAATTAATACGTTAAACACTGGTGGGCATTTATGCCACCCTGGCCAGTTCCAGAGTTAAGAGTAAACCATTTGGACTGTTCAGAAATCAATATAATTCCAGATTTGTTGTGTACTGCGGAGGTCTTGCATCTAGTCAGGTCTTATCTTCTGCAAAACCTCTAATTGATTTCCATCCCATTGGGTAGCTGCCTGATTGCAGGTTCAGTAGCAACCCTAAGAGCCCAGTTGTTACCATCAGTTTTACAGCAGCTTTTCTCCACCAACTTAACCTACTCTCCAGGGTTTGGGTTATTTTTGGCACATTTAAAGGCTTTTTTATTGGAGTTTCTTTTTTGCACTGGAATTTTTTCACCCATTGGGAGAGCAGTTTAACCTGGAGTACTCAGACTAATTCAGGTGGGATGTGGGGTCCAGTCTCTTAATCTCAACCCAGGTTCATATTTTCTTGTTGGTGTTGTTGCCTTCTTTTCTTAGGATGATCCCCAAGTACTACTCAATGGATACAGACTGCACTTTTTCCTTGAACTTTACCCACGAGTCCTCAAGAGAGTCATCCTTTCCACCAAGACAGTCAAACCAAACTATGTTACATTGTATATTCTAAAGTCTTTGATCCATCACTGAGATGTTCTATTGCAGGCAAGGAGTGTTTCTCAGCCTCTTGTTTGTTCACTGCCTTTAACACAGTCATGGAATGGGTAAATAGTAAAAATTAAGTGTGAATGTTGCACATGTACCACAGGAAATGATCAGTGGTCATGCACAATTTTTACTGTAATGTCAAACATTTCAGCTGGCCAGCTTCCTGAATGTGTCAGATTGGTTGTGATTTCATTATGACATGATGACAGATCTACATCAATGTTACTGGTAAAGGTCAAAAGCAGAGAAATGTCCCCCTTTTATATTGAAAATAGGGAATAAACCTCCCAAAAGCTGAAAAAATCTTGAATCATCATGCATACATGTACATTTATAGGATTTTATTTATCCCCAGTTGGGCATGAATATGCAACTTTATTGTCATTATAATAAAGTACAATGTAGCTCCTTAAAATGTTACTTACATGAATATAATTTGTCTTCTGCAGCATATCAGAGACAGTACTGGGTGATTCTTTTTCATGATATTGTCCTGATTCCGGCTTGATCATGGCAACAATTCTGTTATTTCGCACCCCAATAGCAATGAACATAGCCTGGAAAACAAATAGTCACAACTTAACACATCAAAATGCTTAAGATAATTTAGTCAACATCTTAATGTTCTGTTACTGTCTAATCACCTTTTCGTTACCAACATCAATAGAAATATCACGGTATGATAATTTCATGGTTACTAATTAAAAATTAGATTGATTCAGGAGTTTTCCTCCAATGCATGTTGTTTGTTGTTCTCTTGCTAGATTTGTAGAAATGTTCAAGAGTGTAACCACGGAAATAAATTGGTGTGGCCTGAAATGGGAAATAACTCACCTGATCACCATAGAGGAAGATAAGGCCATCTGGGCCTGCAGGACGTACGGAACCACTAAAAATAGACTGGCGATCTTTACCAACATCCACCTCAATGTTCTCCCTGGTGTGGCCATAGCCTCCTCCATCAAAGTACATGATGTTTGAAGTCACTATTGAGGTGCTCATCCTGTACAGCAGAGACATTTCATTTCTAAGACATTATGTCTATTCTTGTAAATTCAAAATTGCTCCTAGCCTTGAAGAGAAAACAGTATGCTGTGGCAGCATGGTGGGCATTTTTACTGCAGTGTTCATCTCCTCGGGTAATTTCAAAAACAACAGTTACTCCTCTGCTTCTTAGTTGTTAGATTTTGAAGTACATTCCTATGGTTGCCGTAACAACTTCCTGTTTCAAGTGTGATTTGGCCTAACACAAAAGCTTCACAGGCAAGTGGCATGGCAGCAGCTGACTACATTACACTAAATGACCTGTTACATGTTTGTGTTGTTCAAAGATATCTAGTGAGGAAGCTTCTACTGTGCTTGGTTCCATTAGTTCTAGGAAAACAATGCAACCTTTTTTTCTTTAGAATAAATTCTGAGCTAAGGTCTACTCATGAAGTGAGATCATATCATAATGTTCAAAAGGACGTACTCCCTAATAGGAAGATCTGTTGGCAAGTTGTCTGCTACTCGGAAGTTCCACAGGCCAGAAGAAGGCACTGTGTCATCTCCGAACTTCAGGTTGTCAATGTGTCCAATGAAACCTCGACCTCCCAAGGCCAAGCCTGATGGAAGCTGCAGAGAGAGGAGAGAACATTCTCTGTTACCAAATTGCCAGAGTCTTGATGTGTGATATTATTGATAGTTCTTGTCCTTTTATTGCCCTGTTATACTGTACATACTGCTGCGTGTGGGCGACCTAAAGCCAGAGCCATTGCCAATTGCTGACATAGCAGATCGACAGGCCTGGATAAAATGTCTGATTGCATGACTCTGTTCAATTGGCCTGGCCATGGATAAAATGTGAGTCCAACTGCATCACCTCCATGTGATGATGATGATGATTGTATACATAAGAAAAGCTAATAACATGATGCTAGATGATTTCAACTTTCTATCAGTTTTGTCTGGAAGAGTATAACACACAAAGGCCTGTACAATGTAGCTTTGTCTTATTAAAGAGATTTTAAAAACCATAAAGGGTAAGAAGAATGCAGAGATGTCCAAGACTTACGGCAGTTCCATCCACTCCGCCCACCCAGATGCCGCCATTCTCTGGCATGTCAAACAGGATGTAGTTGTTGTTTGCTTCACCTTCTAGTGGGTCATTATCTCCAACAGTCAGTTTTAGATAGTTTCCAACCCTACATGTACACAACATCAGATGTAACACACATGAGCATGAAAGATTGGTGTTGGTGGTCAACATTGTTGATAGCTATACTGTCTCCCAACACAACGTGTAACACATAGTAGTATTTACTGAATTGTGTCGCTCATTTGCAAATAACATGTCGTGATTGATATATATTACATACATGTAACTCGACTGAAATAGCTTATAGGGTACTAGAGTATTCAACTTTTGGCACTGCCTATGGTGCTGAAACATCTGCAGTAGTACATAAAGTGTAATACTTTAGTTTAGTAGTACATGTAAACAACAACACCCTCTAGATTATAACAATACAGTATATGTAATATGCAGGGATACACCTACATGTAGACTCAATAGCAAACATTACATCCAAATGGCAGATGCTCTCAAGGCAATGTGAGGTGGTTTTTACATGCATGTGCTCTCTAAACATAGTATTCTTAGACTTAGAGTATAACAAATTCGGAATACAACATAGTTTTGTGTAGCAGAGCAGAAGAACCAAAACTATGGAAACTGAGTTTGTTGGAAAGTTCAGCACTACATGTAACTTTGAGTTTTCCCCTTGAACCATAATGCATGCATATTGAATTCTTTTTACATCCCTGCAGTCTAATTCATATATTCATGGTTACTGCAGTTTCCATGAGGATCATCATAATGATTGTTTTTTTTATGAATCTGACACACCGTGGAAACGAGTTATAGTATGATTGGAAGTTACATCTGCAGGTAAGCAATATCAACCCATTCAACACACCTCTCCAGCCTGACCGTCTCCCACTGGTTTGAAGTCAGTACATTTGAGCTCAGTAGGCCAAAGACGAAGTTGCTTCCACCACCACCATTAAGGTTGGTGGAGGCTCTCAGCCTTCCATCCACAATCTCCAGGCCAATATAGTCAGCGTTTGCCTACATCACAGTGAACAATTGACAGTGATTGATCAACATGACTTTTTGTACATTTAGATCACAATGACTCAGGCATTCATCAAACTTCTGAGCCAATATGTAAACTAGCAATAGGGATTGCAGTCCTAATGATGCAACAATGTAATCTCAATGTGTTCAATGTGTAATCTATAGAATGATATTATATGCCTTAGCCCACAGCACTTCATTTAAAAAAAAGTGGCATGATTGGTGTGAGGCTACATAATAAAACCTGAATGCTTCTGTCAATGATTCTTAGAGGCTCTAAACAACCTTTTAGGAACCTTAAAGAAGTTAATGATAATAGATTTTGATATAAGCTAAATGTGATGATGATGATTAATACTTGTTTGTGGCATGGATTTATCTAATAAAAAGTATAAAACAATGGTTTTACCTAACTCTTTGAGCTGTCCTGAATATTTACTGTAATAGTGAATTTGAAGTTGCTCACATTGTTTGGGTCTCCAATAAATAGCACTGTGCCATCTCCCACATGATTGACTGCCATGGACATGTCAAACACATTCTTGTTGTCAGTGAAGTAGCTGTCCAGAGGTTGACTCCTGGTGTCCAGTCGGACTGCTGTGTTACCACCAAAGTTCATGGGAACATTGTTGATCTGCAATGAAGATAATGAACATTCCATGAGTTTTCTTTTACTCGTAACTTTGCTAGCTCCAGTGCTGAGACCTTTGCAAAGGAGAGTCATGATACAGCAAAATTAACATCATGGTGGAATGACATGAAAATTAAAGAAGGTATGTGAAAAGTAACTTTCAAAGAAGACTAAAAACTACTTAAAATTGGCTGCACATTAACCCTGCTGTTACAGCAAACATTACATCTGATTCAATGCTAATAATGTCTGATGAAAACCAAAGGCAAAATGCTGCAGCATTAAATGATGATTAAAAGAAGGAAATCTGACCCCATTTGCAGTTGCCCTCGCCTCCCGGATCATCCTCTGTATCACATCGATGGATCCTTTGAAGGTGTTAATTTCCGTGTTCTTATTATTTATTTCGCCTTCTAGCTCCAATTTCAGTGAACTGATCTTGGCTATATTTGCACGCAAAGACTCCACTGCAACACAATTTCCCAGAGTTAGTTGAAATGAGTGAATGAAGGGAATTTCTTTATTGTTGAGATACTGTAGCCAGATACATTTTGTAAGAGGGTTACTATGGGGAAAGCTGCTCAAGAAATCTTTTCATTTGTAAATTGTCTGAGCTTTTATGGCCATACAATCATCAGTGCAATTATTATATTTTGTATATGCTGGAGACTTACAAGTGTTGTCAATATCTCCGAGGCCGCCGCCCCCTCCTCCACCTCCTGTAGCAGCTGCATCTTCCAGCTCTTTCACTGTGAGCAAAGTGGAGGACAAGAAATAGACCATCAAATCAGAACTAATTACATGTTAGACAATGTTGATTGCTGGATATTACAATGTAGATGTATGATTTACATTCAACTTAAGATAAAGAAACATACCATGTAGAATGGCATGTGCATGTAGACCATTATCATTATTACTGTGATTGAGTGTGAACAAAACAACTGAGGACTGAATCCACAGGCCTGAGGGTTTTATGAAATATTACAATATAACATACAGTCATGTAGATATTAACATAACATATATTGGACAAATATCATATAACAACATAAATCCTGAGCTGGGTTAATACAGTATATAATGTACATATTAACCCTTGTCCTGTGAAGCCCATACTGCACCATGTTTATATCTATATAGTGCCCTGTATATGTACAATGTGGTGGTATTTCTTGTGCAAAGTATGACACTGCAGCAAAATGCAATGAATGCAGAAGTATGCAACCACAGACTATGACATCAAATTATTTGAAAATGTTGTGAAAAAATGCCAACAGGACAAGGGTTATACGTACAAAACAAGTGCTGATGGAGTGAGACAAGAGATGTGCTGGCCTACCACTTTTCAGTGCTCCATCAAGGTTCTGGTCAGTCCCATACTGTCCGGATATGATGTCTTCAATGGAAGCCTTTGCTTCAGTGGCTCGCTTGCCAGCCTTATTGATCTTAGCCTGGTCAACACCGGGGTTAGGACCTGGAGTTAGAGGAAAGAGAGGAGGTATTGCATTTTTAAGGTTTATAGAACTGCCCTGGATGCAATTATTATGATATACTAGAATTATAGAACCTACATGTTCAGCAAAACACTTGTCCTACATGTGGCATACAGTCAAAGCAGTTACAGTAGAGCTATTTCCTTCTCTGCAAACTCTAGAAAGTCTTAACCCTGGTACATACAAAATGATTCAGGGTAACAATATATTTGTTGTAACGTTACATGTACATGTACATCTTTTGGAAATCAGTTAGTTTTGACTGTATTTTTCTGCCTCATTGGTACAATTACTAATAGTAATATTGTATGCAGTACCATACGCTGGGTGCTTTACCCCAGCTGTAGGCCTAGGGGAGTTATCCAGATGTTCACATGAACCATCCGTATCTTCTTACTTCCAAAACACCTTGCTTGCTTTGTTTCAATGTTTATCCAGTTTTTCCACTTGATTCCAGATTCTATTAGCCCCCTTGTACCCCATGCTTCACTACATGAAATCATACATACATGACGTATGTCATACCTTAGTTTCTAAAATATCCTACAATGCAGTTCTAATCTTAGTGAAAACTTACTTTCAAGTTTGAGGAGCTCATCGTTAAGTGCCTGGAGCTGGTCATGGCCCATCTGCAGACCAGTCTCCAGGTCAGTAGTGGCCACATCTAGAGCATCAAGCCTGGGCTTCAAGTCTACAGCAGAGTTATCAACATAATCAGTCAGCATTACAACAAAGGCATTTTAGAATTATGACATGCATAATTTTAGACCATTTGTCATTCTTCTTCTTCACACTTAGCCAAGTCTTTCTCTTTTGCATGGGGACATTTTCATTTTCACAGTCTTAACCAGTGAGTGGAAAAGCATTAAACCAGTCAGGAAAGAACCTGATAATTGATTGAATAATCCATGGAGCACAGATATACCCGAATTGTCAAATAGATCTTGGGAAACATAGAAGGCGCAATACAGTACATTGTACTAGAGAATAAGATATAGAAGATGATACACACCATTCAGTTCATCTCTCTGGTCTTCGGCTTTTTTAAGACTGGCCTCGCTCTCCTGTTTGGTTGTCCTTGCTGTGGTATCAAAGTTACCATCCTCCACCATCTGTCAAGGTGACAAAGGCATGCATGGCAAATAATCAACACCGATGTTCTTGTACAGGTGTCTAGATGCAGTAGTAGTAGAATGGCTAAATTGTCAGGCTTGTTTACATATCATAATACAAACTTAAGAAATAATTGTTATAGTAGCAGAGTACATTGCATTATCTCTAAACATTACAAAGTGTACATTGTAAAATGTTAACAAAAGATCCGTGCCATATTTGAAGACATTATTATATAATAAGACTTCGAATCAGATATTTTGCAAATTGTAGATGTAACCTTACATTGCTAATAGTTAGTTATTGAAATTGAATTGTCCATAATAAAATATGATTGCTCAATCATAAAATTGTGAATGCCATTTTCATACTACCCAATGATATCTACATGACATTGTATTACAATAAATTATAATGTTACCTAATTTTTCCTTTATCCAAATCTGTCAGCACAACTAACCTTTTTGGCATCACGTGCTGTCTTCCTAGCCAGCTTAGCAGCAGCCTCTGCCTCGTCAATCTTTGTCACAACATTTTCATAAGCTTTGATTGCTTGCATTGCCTTTTGGGACATATCACCCCCACTGTCCTTCAACCTGATGAGGGTAAGTTTAAACATGATCAAGTACCAGCAGTTAACAACAAAGCTATTCATACTCCTCCTAACTTCTTCATCTAAACCATTTACTAGTAATGTGTGAAGAGTTATTTGTTATTCTGTGATTTTACCACAAGGTGACGGTAGAAATAATATTACAATTATTGTGAAATTTCATTGTACAAGAAGCTCTACTTACTTTTCTTGGACGAGTTTGTACTTTTCCTGCTGTTCCAATCCATGTTCTTCTGCCTGCTTCACCTTTGCTTCCATAGCGTCAAGATCTCCCAAGTTGTCCATCTTTTCCTGCACCTTGGTTCTGCCCTCTGTAATCCTTTCCTTGTACCCATCAATGTTATTCTGTGGCGAAAGAAATACAATCATTAGGATTTAGTCAGTAAACATTTTTAAAGTTGAAGTGTAAAGTTAGTCTTGCAGTTATTAAGGTTTGAGTCTTGAATCTTTAGGCAGGCAGGATGGCCGACTATCATTATGCAGTTATAGGACAATTTCCATTAAAGGCATTATACTCATTGATGACTCAGCAATAAGACCCTGGGAATATCTGTAGGTGAATGTCTTGAAGTAAGAAAAACAGTGCATCATTGTTTGTTATAACTCTCATGCACTGTGGAAGAGTAGAGAGCAAAGACTGACTGACTAATCATAACCTTGTTTGCTTTCCCCTCCTCGAAAGCCTTCTTGGCTTCCTCCAGGTTTGTCTGTGCGGTGTTGACTGTGTCAGTCAGGTCATCAGCTGCAGCCTTGGCACTGTCCAGCCGAGATGTGTTAGCTAGGCGGTCAGAATTTACTTGGTTCAATCGGGCAGCCTCATCACTCTGGGAAGGACAAATGACAGGATTTGGATTGTTCAACCCAGGACATTAACATACCAGTACTCATTTGTACATGTATTGGCCTTGGTCAAGAACATTATGAGCATCATACTTTACTACATGTACATGAAAGAAGACACTGGATTATATAGTGGATTGCAGAAAATGTAATTTTATCGCATACATGTAGATAGAATGCAGTTACATGTACATTTCATATCATTTTCCTCTGAAGAATTTGTTTTCTTTCAACTTAAATATTTTACAAGCTACTTTAATGTATCCACACTGCTTTACTTTAAGCCACAGGAAGGAAGTGTCTGTTATACCGCTTCATTTGCTTTGTCGATGGCTTCTCCCATGTCATTCAGGTTGTCATTCAGAGTGTTTATCTTTGCCTCCATGTTGACAATGACCCCAGTCGGACCACTTTCCTTAAGCCAGTCAGTAACTTGAGTGTTCACTGTCAAACAACACAGCAGAATCAACTATTTAATAAGCTTCAGTAAGTACAGTCATGGATTATTTTGGGGATTACAAATCAACAACAAAATCTGCAGTTATGACAAATACATTGAACAGTCTATAGGCTAAATGTAGTAAATGTACAAAAATCTTTTTTGACCGCAGCTACACAAGCTGTGATATAATAATTATGTTAATTATACTTGTGATGTAGTTGTGAATAATTTCACAATTTTAGCAAAGAATTTTAGAAAATAGAAGAAAAGAATTTAAAAGAATATTTACGTTTGTCAACTTCAGTCTTCTCTGAATCTGCTGCATTCTTGTTTGGTTCAAAGTTAACATCGTTTGTTTTCCGTCCTTCGATTTCAGCCAGGATCGTGAGTGCCTCGTCAAGGTCCCCGGCACTGGTGCCACCATCTGTATCATCTGTACCCAGCTGTTCTTTCAGTTTGTCTGACAGAGTAACAATTGAAGAAACATCAGTTCAGTTTGGCTTCAGAATCTTACAAATTGGTAAACAGAAATGTTTCAATATCATATTTTTCAGATTGAATTTTAAAAAACAAGTTCACCCATTGTGTACCTGTCCTTGGTGCTGAACAGCATATCTGCCTAAAAAAATAAGGGGGCTATCACAGAATTCAAATCTGAATGGACTAGCTTCTAGTTAGTAAATTTGACTGACCGTCTACGTACCAATTTGAAAATACATGTAAATGTATACACGAATGTATCACTCACCGATCCTGTCATTCAGTGTCTTTATTTGAGCTTCTAAATCAATTGCCCTCTTGTTGGTTTGGTCTGCACTGTCTTTCTCTGTGGTCCCCTTTCCTGCCACAGAAGTCCCCTGAAATCAACAACCACAGAATAACAGTTACAACAATTTTACAGTGATGACAAAATATAATCTCAAGGAATGTTGAAGGGACATCAGTGTACAAATTTAAATTCAAAATAATCACACACACACCCACACAAACCAAACAAAAAAAACACACTGTGTATCAGGTGTAGCCAGAGAAAATAATTGTATTAATGCAACATTAATTTTCCTTTAATTACCTCCATGAAATGTGTCATGGAGGTTATATTTTCAGTTGCGTTTATCCGTCCGTCCTTCTGTCTGTCTGTTGGTCAACAAGATAACTCAAGAACGCCTGGATGGATTGGTTTCATACTTGGTGTGTTGGTAGGGTGTGACAAAAACTGGAAATGATGAGATTTTGGTCCCCCTAGTGGCTTCCCTTGGTACTGCAGCGCAACTTCCGGTTTTGATATCTCGCGATCTGGACATGCTAGGGTCATGAAATTTTGATGGAAGGTAGCTCTCGTGCTTGGGAAGAAGTCATATGAGTTTGGGCCCCCTAGCGGCTTGTTCTGGAACTGCAGGGCACTTTCTGGCGAAATGTTTAAAAGCCAATAAGTCCAGACAGGAACAACATATTTTCATTATTTTTGGTGTGTAGGTAGCTGAGAGAGAGATGTACATAATTAAATGTAAATTATGCAAATGAGGACTTTATTTGCATAATTAATGAGGAAATTCTATAATTACAGTGTTTTACATTATACTATGTAACCTAGGGCAGGCGGAACTTCAACAGATACTAATTATGCAAATGATGACCTAATTTGCATAATTAATGTGAAAATTCTATGATTTCGTAATGGTGAATGATGAGAATGTCATACTTGGGACATCTGTAAGTTAATCAAAAGTTAACATACATCACGATTAGGGCTGCGTACCTAAACGCAACATCAGGTACAGGTACAAGTACCGGTACAGAGGTTTAGGTACAGGTCCGGACCTGTACCTGTACCTGAACAATTTGACAAATTAACACGTGTTCTTCACTTTTTCAATCATGACACAAACAATAATAAAGTGTTGACAACTTGTCAGTATCTTCCAATCACAACCCTGGATCAGCCACACTCTCGCGATGTCTCGTGAGACTGAGGATCTCAAATCAATCCGACGGTGTTTACGTCTTTTCCAGTGCTAATTTTTCGTCTTTGTGGTAGGATTTACCTATCTTTAGTCATATACATGGTGTAAACTAGCTATTTCGGTATATACTCGTTACTTCATGATCCGGTATTTTGGACCTGTACCGAAACGATTTTTACGGTATTGGACCGGTACAGTGTACCGGTCCGCAGCCCTAATCACGATGCATATATCATGTTAATGCAGAGGTCATTTGAACAATTAAAGAAGAAATTTACATTTACATATCAAGATCATATTTCATGGAGGTATGAGATCTCGGAATTCTAGTTTGTTCTATAATCATCATGTAATTCTGCTGGGTTTGTATTTACCTTGTTATCAATAACAGTTGCTTCTCCATCTGCTTCGAAGATGGCATCACGCAGCTTCTGTATAGCCGGGGCAGATATGTCGCCCAGCTGATTCTACATTGTGGACAACGAAATATACTTTAGGATGCTCAATTGCTTTCAAAGAGGTCACAAAAACCTTGCTAGAACAGTATGCAGTGAGTCGCAGCCTTTATATGGCTAAATTGATCCAGAGTATCACAAAATAATGAATACAAATCACAACAATCAAATAACACACATGATACACGCATCTATCGCAAGGGTCTGTGCGGCTGCTATTCAGCACCACAAGGTGACCTCAATACGACTTTCCCCAACCGAAGTTAGGTACCCAATCACACCTGGGTGGAGTGAGGAAATTTTGTTAAGTGCCTTTCTCAAGGGCACAACGTTGGGGCACATGCCCAGACATGTCCCGGGTACAATACCATTGGCATCATGTTTATAAGAAATACCATTTGCATCATGTTTTGAAAAAATTTAATACGAAGACACAAAATGCACCATCAGGTCAGCAGTTGTAAAGGCAAACATTTACCCTCAAATTTTGAACTTGCGTAGACAGGTCATTCAGCCGGTTGAGGGCCTCCTCTGGAGCTGTCCCTCCTCCACCTCCACCTCCACCAAGCTTGTCACTGGCTGTCTGGATGTCTGCCAGCAGAGCCTGTAACAGCTGCAGCAGCAGACTGCAATCTTCTTCAGCAAGATCATCCGTGCAAACCAGCTTGGGTGCTGTGACAGTTCAGTCAGTGGATTTAGTTATGATAAAGGAAACATTATGGAAGGACATTGGAGATGTAAGATAAGCTTAGACATTGGCTTATCTAGTGTTGTACATTCTCTGCAGCTACAAATGTTGCAGCATGTAAAGAAAATAACTCTATGAGACAATTAAACATAAGAGCAACAAAAAGTCTTAGAGCAAGGGTTGGAATAGTTATCTTGACTGTGTGCATATCCATGTCTAACTACTGGATGTAAAATGTACACAGTAAACAGTCTAGCTATAAGACAACTTAACTCATAACGTTGGTCTGGCAAAACATGAAATGAGTGTTTACTGTAACTACACGGTATATCATGAATTTATCATCATTTCATCATGATCAGAAAGTCAGCAAAATGGGAACACTTACCACAGTTCTCCTCATCACTGCTGTCCCCACAGTTGTTGATGCCATCACACTTCAGTTTAAAGGGGACACACAGCTTATTCTTGCAGGTAAACTGTCCAACACTTTCACAAGCTGAAATTTGAGTTGACATACATTGTATGGTGAGACCTACACTACTTACAAGACTGTGCAAGTTACTTTCAAGCCTAATTTCCCCAAATATACATGTAGAAGAGTAAAAAAATAATGTCAGTGCTAAATATATAAACTGCAAGGAAGCTTTCTAAGGTTCAATAAATGTGTTCGCACAGAAATCTGTGTTAATTGCATTTCAAAGACACGTTTCAGTTAGCACCTACAAAAAACAAGAAATATTGTGGATGCCGTATAAAGCTTCTACACTTTACAGAAGTTTAAATACTTGTGCGTATGAGTTTAAATCCTTCCTCTTACTAGAAACTAATTATAATTGATTTTATAAAATAAAATCATTTATGATAAGATTTGATACTTACTGCTGCTGCTGTCCTTGAAGGTACAGTAGACATCATATAGGTCAAACTGGAACTGGTTTCCATAGTTCTGTATCTTTGTGACGGAGCCGTAGTCCTCCTTACAAGACACACGTGGGTAATGAAGAGGGAACCCCACAATACCACCATCCAACCAGCCCTGGTGTGGTGTGGGGGAAGAAAGATAAATACATACTCTATATCTTTGTGTCATGATATCTTAGACACAGACTTGCAAGTTTGTTGTTCAATATATAAATTCAAACAATCATGTAACTTTCTATAATCACAAAGGCAAATTTTGCAATGTAAATGGTCATTGATCTCAAATCCATCAAGACATACATTGGGCAATCAAGCACTACAAAAACCGAGACATGGAGGACACTCTAGTTTGGATGTTTACAATTATTACAGTATAGCGTTAAGAAATAAAATTAAGCATTGGACAACATGACTACATTGTAGGTTCCTTTAATAGATCATCTCCAGGCACTTGGCTCTTTCCATTGATACATTACATTTCATACAGAATACTTTGGACTTTGATACTGACAGCCCTTCTAATGCAGTTTCAAGCTGAATTAGCCAAACATCCTACAAAATTTTAATCTGACATGGGTATTACTGTTACACACTAATTATAAGCTTCATCCATTTTTACAGTCAGACATGTGCATCTTATACCTTACGACAAATGTCCAGGCCAGTTCTCCAGGCTGCAGTCAGCTGATCCACGGTTGCCACCTCTGCGTTTACTCCGTTGCAGATGACGGATGCGTCTGGGTAAGGGGTGGAGTACTGGTCCATCATATCGTTGGGCATCAGGAAGGTCACCAAGCCAGCTGGATGGAAGGGGAGGGGGGCAGATTACAATAATTATTTTTGTATTCATTTGGTGACTTTTATCCAAGTTCTTACAATTTCTCCTAATCACTAACTGTACAAACACAATCATCATGTACAATGTATAATCATGTACAATATGGTAATGAAAGAAACTGAAAGGAAATGCATCTTTTCCAAAAGATTCTTGCAACAATATGCATAGATCTCCTTTTATCAGGTTGGTAAATTGTAAAATGTTTTGGAGATGGTCTGTCATCTCCCTCAGTAAAACAGATGGTCACCAAAACATTGGCTTCTTTGGTTGTGAATAAACATTGTTCTATATTATGCACAGTCACCGGCAACCTTGCAACATACATGTAACTCCAGGACCTGCAGTTGTCAATATGCATAAACTGAGTACTGGAACCCTGCCTTCAACAGTGTAATAGAACGAGTTTAAATGAAGAAATGGGGATCATGTACCTGGGTTACCACATTTCTCATCACTGTTGTCCCCACAGTTGTTGATGCCGTTACAAACCAGCCAGTGTGGAACACACAGGCCATTATCACAGCTGAACTGGTCAATCTTCTTACAACCTGAAGGAAAAAAAATCAAACAAATCAGGTTTAACTTGATATCAGTTCAGTTCACATCATCATTAAGACATAAACTGACTTGTATCATAAATACAATTAGTTATTGTGAGGTTACTTGACTACAAAAATTGCACACTGAACATGAATAATATATATAAAAACACAGCGAAACATGTTACAGCAAAACATGTTTTGTAAATATTCACCTACAGTATAGGGTTTAATGTTTTTCAATTTTGAATTATGTAATAAGGTAATGACTTGTATACACTGGAAGATAATACTCTTGATAAATGTCAGATGGAAAAATTTATTCAATCTGAAATTTACTAAAAATGAAACGTTATTTGCGGACAAAAATTTTGATTCAGAATTTTCATGATTCAGTTTGAAAGATTACTGCTACCTTGATACTTGATACTTTATTGGGATATCCATTGAAGAATATCCACTGCTACCTAGATGTAACCCAATAGCAAACAGCTACTTTGAATTCAGTAAAGGTTAACCCACAAAACAAGAATGAACTTACTCCAGTCAGACAGAACTGGCTCACACCAGACATCGAACTCTGAGGACAGTTCATGGTTGCCGTAGTGAACAATGCCGGGGTCTCCGCAGCCTTCCCTTGCTGTGTGGATGGGGTGGACTGTGGTGCTGTCTGACAGCCACGCCATCCTGTGTACAGACAACAGCATGGTAAAACATGACCTTCTACATGTATGCTGCACTAGGGTTAGTTTTGACAGTTTTGCAAAATGAGATTTAAGGTGTGAATAACAACATTTCCATATCTTAAAATGTACCCAATTCACAATCTTGTTGACTTGATAGAACTATATGGTTGTGTGATATTTGAACTATGTGGGATAACTACAAATGAATTAAAGAGATTCTTTATTGACACAACAAAAAGTACTGGGAGTTTTGTATGGTCTTCTACTGAACAACTGAAGATCTAACAAAACTTAATTCATGTGTGGATAACGTCATCTTACTACAGAAATATGCGGTAACAATAAAGGTTTAACTATTATCTAACAAGTGGTCTCTAAGATCAAAACATTCTTTAATGTATTTTCCTAATATTTGAATGCTGTATTCATTTGGTTATCTCCCCTGAGAATGTAATTGAATTTATCTATAGGATCTAACGTATTGAAATCAATTGAACAAGTGGGAAGAAAAGTGAACAGCAATAGGTGCTGATGTATCCATTATAAAATGGTGCTCCTTTTCGATCATGTTTGGACAAAATGAACAGAATCTTTGGTCATTTGGTATTTTCTTGTATCGACCCATTTCTATTTGTTTAATTTATGACAACTAATTCTTGATTTTGTGATACACGTCAAGTAAATGTTTACCTGCAGATGTCCAGACCAGCATTGAAGGTTTTGTACATGTCCTCCCAACTGGCCAGTTTGGCCCCCACAGCCTGACAGGTTTTCTCAGCATCCCAAAACTTCACCAGACCAGACTTGTCTGTCTCCTTCCCAGGCCAGAGGAACACATGGCCTGGTTAACAGAAAGTAGCAACAATTATGTTCACTACTAGTGTGTGCAGTGAAGTAGCAGTTAAAAAAATAAAATGTCAGCAACATTTCCTGATTTTTATTCTCATTCAGTTTAGCCAGTACAGGTACATGTAAGCTACATTGAATTTCATCTTTAACTTTGTGAGTAAAACCTCACCACAGTTGTCCTCATCACTGTTGTCCCCACAGTTGTTGATGCCGTCACACCTGGCCCAGTATGGCACACACAGCTTGTTCTTACAGCCAAACTGATTAATCTTCTCACAAACTGCAGAGGGATGACAAAAACAGGTTAAGTTTGAAACAGAGACACATACATTTTGTACTTGTGCCAGAAAAAGGAAGGTTAACTGCTGGTCATGGGTTCCCTAAAACCTACTAGGCTCTCAGACATTCTTAGCAAAATTCTGTAAGTAGTCAAGACGAAGACAGAGGGCAAGAAGGAAAACATGAATCTGGCTATATTCTCTAATATTGTGTATACCAATGTGTAGAATTTTCCATCAGAATATTTTTTCATGTTAGTTTTGCAGTAACTGTTCAGAATTAAAAAAAATATCTAACAAGCAAAAATAGAACTGGTGTGGCCTTGATACTATTACATACTAACTGTCCAAGAACGCAAAGTGGTAACTTGACGTCCTTACCGACGAAGGTGTCCGGTTTGCACCAGATGTGGAACTCCATGGAGTACTCCAGGCTGCCCAGGTGATCCACACCTGCAGTGGTGCACACCTCACGGGGGTAGTGGATGGGCTGGGCAATCGTTGCATCATTCAACCAGCCGTGCCTTCGGGTGGACAAGAGATCGCTCTTGTTAAACAAGTTGTTGTAAATTAAGAACTTTGCTATTCAATCATTCACCAATCTGATGAAATTATCAATGGATGTAAGAGATGGACAAATGTTTTTATTATGACATCTTATTCTCATGTGATCTCCCAGTTTACAGGTTCAAACAATCAACAACTATAAGTACTACTGTTGCTAGGATGAATATATTCTTTTTCACTTTGATTGTAACAGTAGTGTAATTTTTCATTCTCATTCTTTTTCAGTTCAGAGGTCCAACAGAATCCCCCAAACATAAAAAAACACATGATAGAACTGAGTCTTACACGCAGAGGTCCAGACCAGCATCCCAGCCCTCCTTCAGGTCTTCCCATGTGGCAAGAGTGGAGTCGTACTGTGCACACTTTGCTGTCGCCTCCAGGAATGTGTACAGATCCGTGTCCAACTCAGCATCAAACACGCCATCTCCTTCAAACAGGAAGACGTAGTTGCTGGTAGTGATGGTGACCTCTCCTGGTCCTGCACCAAGACAAAATAATTGGTTCATCTTCCAGACATCAACATATTACAGGATCAGGCACAATTTAGTGGTAATACTGTTGTTTTGAAAATTATTAGTACAAGACTTAGTAGTAATTGTCAAAAATTACAGAAATACAGAAACTTTACCTATCATACACATGACGTATTCTTAACAGTTGAGTGGGCTACCAAATGTAGATAAATCTGTACTAAATGCAAATGTCAGCACAGTAACCCACCATCAACACCTCCCTCACAGTTCTCATCACTGTTGTCTCCACAGTTGTTGACACCATCACAACGGAGCCAGTAGGGAATACACAGGTGGTTATTACACTTGAACTGGCTGATCTTGGAACAACCTGGAAGTTAAAATAACATTGACAACAACTTTTACAGTTTCTGCAAAAAATAAATTCTGGCAGACATAGAGGAATGGCATTGAAAATTCAAGAACAGACTCATCTCCAAAATATCTTACACAGTTCTTTCTTAATCAGAATTTTAGAAAATCAAAAAAGTGAAAGTAATGTTGTAATATTAAGTAAGACAAAGTCAACTACTATAAACAGTGTTAGAAATACCCATCTGCAGTCTGAATTTTGCGAGAGACATTTTCAATATTGCAGGAGAAAAAATTAAGCAATTTTGCAGACTGAAAAAATCAGGCTAGGGATTTAATTGTGTTTAAGAGCTTTTTATGTAAATACTACTGGCTATCTTATACATAATTTTGCATGTATTTTTCCCATTGCATGTAAAATGTGTCACAACATCCAATTTTGTATATGCCATGGGTATAGATATCGACTGGTCTTTTAACTGTGTATTTGCAGAAAGTATTTCCAAATTCTTCAATATTGCAGAACACAGCAAAAAAAAGTATTTCTTCCACTCTGAGTGATGCAGAAAAACTAACATCATACAACACTTACTGAAGTCAGCAGACTTTGGCTCACACCACACATCAAAACCTTCTGTGTATTCACGGCTCCCGTCATGGTTGATGCCTGCCTCTCCACAACCCTCCCGAGCCGTGTGGATTGGATGAGACACAGTGGCATCCTCTAACCAGCCATACCTGCACATACAGATGATACCAGTTTAGTCACCTCTGACACTGATGAGCATGTAGAAAGATCTAGATAGACCTACAAGTAATCATTATTGCAGTTGCCAAAGCTGGTCCAACCATGGTGTTCTTTACATAAAACTGATGCTGAAAAAACAGGAATGAAAAAAAACTAGGATTGTTAACACTTTGCCAAACTATGCCAGCTATCAGCACCCTCTAGCACATTACATTAGAACTGCAGCTGTCCTGACCAAATCAACTGAACCATCAGAGGCTAAAGCTACCTGCAGATGTCCAGGCCATGGCGCCAGGTGAAGCTCAGATCTTCCCACGATGCAACACGAGCTCCGACAGACTCACACCTTGCCTTCGCATCAAGGAAGGTGACAGATGATGCAATTTGGTTTCCAGGGTATAAGAACACATGGCCTGTGAATGTAACACAGTTAAGGGTAAAAAAAGGTTCAAGATTCAGGAGTTGTACCAAATCATCTGCTGTGTACTTGTCTATGGTGTCTATAAATGTACAACCAAAGGTTGGCAATTCTGGTTGAACAATATAAGGTATAGAATATATAAACCTTTCCTTTTAAATCTTTATATTGTTCAAAATCTGTAGTTAAAACTTAGTGAATATGAATAGTGATGACACACACATATTATGTTAGCCAAAATTAAATACGAAAGAAACCCACCACAGTCATCCTCATCACTGTTGTCCCCACAGTTGTTGATAGAGTCACACACCAGCCAGTATGGGATACACAGCTTGTTGTTACAGGTGAACTGTTTCACTGAATTACAGGCTGGGAAACAACAACAACAACAGAACTCTTTAATATGGGATGTTAGGATTTCTTTAAAAAAACTGCAGTTATATAGACTGTGTTCATGATCAATAAACAATCATTCTAAATTCAACAATATTGGTAGTCCCACTCCATAGCCATCACACGTGTGTAATACATGAGTTTTCACAGTCACACGTACAAACACACACACACACCATGTGCAAAACTCTCTGGGTATACAAGTGCACCTTAGAATAAGGTCTAAAACCAAACAAGGAAAAAAGTGATAAAAATAAAGCAACTGATGCTGCTCATACAAATCCAAAATCCATCTCAAACCAACCTAATTCAGACCAGGCTGCTTAGACTGCATGTATGATGATCCCACATGCAATATGAACGTATCTCTTAAGCTACATTTTTTATTGGGGTATATTGAGTCAGATTGCACAGTACCAACAAGTGGCCAACTTTATGGTGACATGCCACAGATCTCAATGGTCATTAATAACTGTATATAATGTAGTAGGTTGTCACTCACAGGTCATGTTATGCATAACAAGGAAATGAGTGGATTAACCATACTCTGGAAACTGGATGAAAGTGGTAGATGTGGTTGCCCTTCTTTGACACTTGAGAAGGTAATTGAGTAGGATGTCATTGGGATGTTGAGCTAAATTGTTCTGTCAGGAACTTGTGGAGGAGCTGGTATCACCTCACTGAGGATGAACTGAACTGAACTACAAGGTATCAATTGAAGATGTATTTTCCACTTACTGAAGTCTCCGTTCTTGGGTTGGCACCAAACGTCGTACCTGGAGCTGTACTCATGGCTGCCGTCATGGTTCACTCCGACCTGGCCGCAGTCGTCACGGATCGAGCGGATGGGGTGGGAAATACTCCCGTCGTTCAACCAGCCGTACCTTCAACACCAAAGTTAGTTTTCATATTCTTTCTCATACTGGATGGTAAATAGGGCGATGCCCATCTCTGGTTCAACAGCCCTTGGGCCACACAGTTGTGCAATCACTACAGCAGGGAGTTACTCCAATGGTAGTGGTGTGTGTTTATTAAACAGGGCAACCATACTCTTTCCCAAATGCTAAGTGCTAAGCAGAGAAAGCAGTTGTGTACCGGTATGTACCGTTTCTAAAGAAATGTTGGTATGACTTGGTCGGCAAGACAACCACTCTGACTAATCACTTTTGACACCAAGCATTTTTTAATGTTTTTGCAATTTTGTAAATGAATCAACATGATGATATCTA